TGTTAAGTAGCTCTATTTTGATGCGGACCGCTTCGCCGGGGTCCAGCGGACTTTCGCGAAACGGACCAAAGCAAGCGCGCGTGAGGACGGCCTGGGGGGCCAGCTCTGGGCGCCTCTCTTGACAATAAACTGGAATCCACCTCAGAAGTCCTCTGCCCTAAACATGGCTTGGCCACCTAGTCACTTAGATCCCTGCAGAAAGTTGCTTGATGGTTGAAGCAAGAAACAAAGGAACAACACAAGGGCAAACACCTAACTCGGTGATCACTCCCATCGCCCCGTTTCACTCTGAGAGCCTGGCTCGACATGATCGCCGAGAGGGCTGTTCGGCTGGGCCCCTGCAAGCTGCCTCACGCTTGCGGATGCTTGATCTACCTTCAACCCTACAGGTGTGCAAATAAGTCACAATCAAACACTGGTAGTCACATGACCCACCCAGAACCATGTAAAGAATCAAGAAGGCGGCCGCAACTATTTATGGTTGGGACTGTCAGTTACCAACCTTCACGTGCCCCAGGACTCGATTGTGACTCAACTGATGATTGATTGATTGATTGATTGATTGTTTTAAAGGGTACAGTACTAAGTACTACCCTTTTTCAGGTTGATTTGAAGGGAAGCCAAGAGACAACATCTGAGGGTCCCATTTCCCACAGATTGATTGGCAAGCAGGAAAGAGAGAAGGATTCCGACTCAGCGAGGGGCGCCTCAATGCCCCCCCCCCCAACACCCCTACCCTGCGTGTCGGCTTGCCCGCCCAAGCGCAAAACGTTTGCCTGAGTGCGTATCCGGGAATATCAATGGCCCATTGGTCCAAACAATGACCCATGGAAGTCACAGCAGCTTCCGGATCTACCAGAAGGTCCGTTAAAAGGAACATGATCTTCTAGGATCCCCAGCTAGGTTGCATGTAAGTTGGTGGGCGCTAAATAGGCTGGCTGCCTGGGAAATTAAAAGAACTACCCATCCCTTTTGGGTTCCATTTGGGTAAAAACATGATTGTGGGCTATGTAGCGCTGAGCCACCAACCAACCGACCAACCGACCAACCGACCAATCGACCAACCAACCGCGACCCTCTTGGGATTCTTGTTTGGTGCGAGGGTGCGTGTCGCACATCGCTTGAATCACTGCTGGAGCAGTGCCGAACGCGCAAACCACCCGACCCGCTGAGGCCACGGCAATCGCTGTAAACGCGTGGCCCCAGCACTTCAGTAAACCTGCGAGCTGATGATCTCACAAAACTATGTATGGCACCTACTTACAACTACGTAGATAGTATAACATATGTGTGAGTAGATGTATGTATCCCTCAAGTAGGACTAGGACACAACCCCAAACGACACGGCATGAAATGCAATGAACACTCATTTGCTGATTGGAATCAGCCCCCCGAATGAAATCGAATGAACCTTCAGGCATAATTCACTGGTATTTGCAGTGTTTTCTGCAAGTCGTATTTCCAACGACAACCTGGAAGCTTGATGATTTCGGTCCATAGTGAATCAACTCAGACCCCAATTGTCAATCCTTGCCCCCCCCCTGCATGCAACCGAATGAAGCCGAATGAAAGTTTAGTCGGTTTCACACAGTTTCATTCGTGGCCCGGATTCAAGATTCGAGAATCCAGGCCAAACTTTTCCAGGCAATCTTGAATCCAGGCCCGACTGAAACTTCGATCGGTTTCGCTCGGTGTCATTCAAGATTGAAGGGACAACTTTTCTAGAGGATCTTGAATCTTGAATCCAGGCATGTCCTTCGGCTTCGTTCGGTTTCATTCGGTGAGCTGGTTCCAATAAGCGAATCATCCCTTTTCACTCGGCTTCACGCGGATGACGTTCAGATTGTCCTTGGATGTGTGCCTCTGTTGATGCTGTCCCAAAGCCCAAAAAGGGTAAACACTGCAAATACCGTTGAAACCTCAAAAAGGGATCAGTCCTGAGGGGGTGCCATACATATATATATATATATATATATACATACTATATATACACATCCATACTATATATATATATATATATATGTATGTATTAGCATATTATATATCAAGCTATATCAAGCTGGATAATGTTCAAAGCCACATGAGCGAACGGAGTCCCTTTGCGAGATTGCCTGAAAGAGAGGACTCTCGTGAGACCCGACAAACATATCATGCTGTGCTGCCTTTTATGCGTATGCGCGACTCAGAAACCATGTCACATGTCACATTTCATATGAGCCACAGTCGGGAAACCAACTGGACAACAAATGTGCACAAAGGCGAACCCTGTAAGCTGGTTTGGGATAAGAACGCCATGGGCGGTGATGATTTCCCCCCCCCCCCCCGCCCCCAACGTCAAATATGCCTTAGCACCAAACCGAAACCAGCTCTCGAACCCTTGATCCGTTTTGGGCTTCCTGCTCTCAGGCTCCGGCCTGGCAGTTGGCCTGGGACCAGAGACATCTGAGCCCGCACTTCTCACTCCTTGTGGCTTGCAGCTTGGCCTATCGCAATGCAGGTTCTGCGCTTCGTCGTGGCAGGACCACTGGGTCTCCGTCTGGTCGCCTTCTGGGCACGGCCCACAAAGAATCAGACCCTGTTTGGAACGCTTCTTTTGTGGGAGACCAAGAGTGGCAACCAAGCTTCGTATTAAAACACTGGGAAACATGAGACTCCAGCTCTCTATTCCAGGACACCCCCCATGTCCGGGTCTCGAACTGGTCGTAATCAGAACCTGGTAGTGCAGGCCCGAAACGCACAAAAGGAACCGGGTTTGAGGCACCAGGTCTCCACTTCCTTTTTCGAAGATCACTCGCACTCTGAGCCGACCGACCCGCTGGCCACTTTCTGCACACCTCGCGGCAGGGAAGCCCGACATCTCAGGAAGCTGCTTTCCAGTATCTTGGCTGCGCTAGCCATTGATTCTAGACCTGCAGCAAGCAATTGCTGCCATCAACAGAGCCAAATCAAACTGCGAAAGAAACATATCATAATTGAAGGTGCCATCTTGTTTTTTTGCTTTTGGAGCGTGAACTCTCAAACTTGGATTCGGATCATTTGGCAAGCTGATAAGCAATTCCTCGTGGGCGCACTTCAGCGGGTGTTCTTATCATTTGGCAGCCAGATATGCAGAGCTTGCGCTTGAGCTGATGTTCTTCTCATTTGGAAAGCAATTGTGCAGCGCTGCGCGTGTGCAAACTTGAGTGGTTGCTCTTATCATGTGGCAAGCACATATGCGATGCTGCGTGGGTTCGCTCAAGCGGGTGGCCCTATCATTTGGCAGGCAGATACGCAGTGCTGGTTGTTGCTTTCCTGTCTGTTGTCGGTGCTATTGTGGGTTTTATTTTTCTTCAGAGCTCGCGGCCACATTGTGAATCGAGTTGCTGACAACGAACTCCAATTGCAGCATTTCGGTCCCAAATATGCACTGAGCATATATCAACACCCCAATATCCATTCAACTCCCCATCCCATCTCTCCAGACAAAAACAAGCACATGTTTGGCTGTGATACAAAAAGAATAATAATAATAATAATAATAAAAATCAGGTCTCCAAACCGCTTCTGAGGTGGTTCCGACTCTTGAACTTTTGGCACCAGGTCCTCAGTTCCCGGCACGGTGCGCCCACTGTTTGCCTGGCCATGCGGATGGCCCGGGACCTAAAACGCAACCAGGCGGGCGCAGTTCCTCTGTCCTTTCGGGGAGAGAAATTTCATGAATGGATCCTTCCAATAATCATGGAGACCATGAATCCTCCTTTCCTCCTTTCCTCTAATCATGAATTCTTTCCTCCTTTCCTCTAATCATGGATCCTTTCCTCCTTTCCACTCATCATACATCCTCACCGGTTGAAGAAGATCCATGAATGGGGGGACATTTTCGGCAGTCTGCAAGTTTGAACTTCCCTCGGGTCAATAAAGTGTGGGGGGTTCGACATACTTAGCTACCTTTTACATCTGAAACCCAATCGCGTTGACCAGCCCAGCACCACATGGGATTTGAGGCGAAAACACATTTTTTAGCCGGGCTTCCCTAATTATGCTTCCCTACAAGTTCAGCTTAAGCACAACACACAACAGCGACTGCGCTGGCTTCCTCTAGCCCCGCAACCAAGCGCCCAGTCCGGAAGCGGGAGAAATGGGCATGACAACAGGTAGTAAATTGAATGCAAACAAATCCAAACAGCCTCCGGCTTGCTCCTCCATATAGTTGCTCTGGGTCAAAGTGAACAAAAACTCAAAGCCTAAATGTATAAGTTGTATGAACCCCTAGTTTATGGGCTACTTAAACAAGCTGTGTTTGCTGGGGTGGTCGGAGGTGCCTGGAACCAATTCTATCAGCGTTTCCCAAGGATGAGAGCCGGGCAACTGGGTCTTTCAAACAAGTCAGGCTGGCGTTCGGCTGAAGGCATGGCCTCAGTCGTTGCTGACAAAACGTGTGTAGCATGCTCCAGGTCCCAAACGAGGTTGTTTGACATCCGACAGTCCTAGCGCAAAACACCAGCAAACAGGAATAACCCGAAGCTCGTTCTGGGTGTTTTTGTGTACTATCGAGACGACTCCGTTTTGGATGGCTCCTGAAAGAAAAAACAAATAAGCAACTATTCAGTTCGAGGGATCCCCTATGTGCGTCTCTCCTGTCCACTTGACCTCCTGTTCTCAGCAAAACGAGATGCAAAGGGGCAGAGCCCTATACAAAGCACATGCTTTCCGTGACCTTTGTGCCAAAGGCAAACCCCGTATCCCACGCGAACTGACCAGAGGTTCTTACTCAAGAAGAAGCAATCGTTATTAATGTATGATTACACAGGAAAATGCGAGCAGCATGTAGCTCTTGGGTCAGTGTTGGCATACCTACTCATATGGCTTGCCATGTGTAATTGTAGAATTGCCCTTGAATAGCCCAAGTTTCTAATGCGGAATCTTTACAGACATGTAATCACTTCGTGTTCAAGCAAAACGAAGCTGGGCCCCATGACTCCCAACATGGCAAGCTTCCTTGGATCTCAGTTTTGGCAGCCCCGAATGTAGGCACGGATCCCACCCGGGTTTTCCTTCAGCATGATCCAAAAAGCACGGTCATCAACCCAATGCCCAAAAGTCCGTGCCAAGTCAGCGGATCGGCACCTTGTAGTCGTATCCCACTCCACTGGCTACACTTCACAAACTGGAAATGAGTTGAATCCCCAGGGCATTTTCTGGGTACCTCGCCATAACCCATTTCAGCTTTATTGCTGGGCGCCAGGCGCACGGCGCCAGCCCCAGCAGGCTCCACGGCGCCCTGAGAGGCCCATTGACCGCATCACGCTGAGCTTGGGGTCTTGGTTTCCTCTTTCTGATTTCGAACATTCCCTCCTTGCCTTCCTTGAGAAAATGACTTCACTCCAAACCACGCTGGCTACGAAGCCCGACCCTTCGCTGGCCTTCGAGCCTGCCCGGGCAGCCGGCCTCAAGTTTCAGGCATGTCTCAAATGGCTGAAGCAGCTTCCTTCCATGGCTGATTGACATCTCAAAAGTTGACTGGAGGTGCTCCGGCTTCAATTAACTGAGTGGCCGAACAGCGCGGGTGCCATGGCGTTGGATTGTGTTGCTGCAGTATTGATGTTTGCGTCTAGCCTACAGGACTTCAGACACTTTGGTTTAGGGGCTGTGTTAGTTCTTTTGTTTTGGCCGATATTTGGTGCCCAAAACGGGCACTTCAATTCTAGGGGGGAAAAACTTGATTATCGGGGGGGGGGGGACATCAGGCTATTGTCTGTGCAGTGCACAACACCCACTGACTTCTAGATCTAAGAAGATGGTTGACCATTAAGGTGAAAAAGTATAGGTTTTAGTATTTCCCCGATTGAGGTAGAACCACATACTGACTTGGCCAAGAAAGCTTTGCGCTGCTCACACGCACACCCCTGTCATACTAAGAGCACGGCGCGTAACGCTGGCCCCCCGGCTTGCCGACAACAAAGCCTGCGCCACCAACCCGGAAACAGGAGGGAGTCTCAATCAGAGTGTTGCTAACCACCGTTTACAACATGGGTCAATCCAAGAACAAAAACTGGCCACCTGAAGTCCCGAATTTCGAGAAACTATCTCTGAACCACTGATCAACATGTCTGAGCCGTACCAGGACCGTCCTCTAAAAACAGACTCTGTATTGAGAACTTGGAAGGCCAAACAAGTACCCACGTGATTCGAACCAAGGTGAGTCTCTTGGTAACTTGAGCCAGTAGTTGACATGGAGCAAAAGGAGCCCCCCCCTCCCCCCGCCAAGAAGCCTGCACATGCCTGCAAACTGCTTGTTTTCTGGGTTCCGTACTAACCTGCAGGGGAGTAGAGTCTGCCAACTTGGAATGGTGGAACAAAAACAGAACGGGATGTCCAGCAAACGACCACCATGTGCTCGTTTTACCCGCAGGGCACGCCGGAAAATTGGCAGACTCATGGGCAACGCTCAGCATCTGGCCTGTGCCTCTGGGAGTGGAGGCGCTCTGCCTGACTGGGCGCGGAGAAAATCGCCCTGGCGATGCGTCATCAAAACTTCACACGCAGCCACATCAAAAGTAATTACCATATAATATGCGATGTATACAAAACATGTATCTTATGTACAATGTTTATATGTTATACATACTGTATCTACACACATAGACACATACTGTATGTAAACACTGCCTTAAATCATCTTAAATCTGTGACTGGTACAAGGGCATGCCAGAGAAGCTACGTCGCGGAGTTCCAAACCTTTGTTCAATGGCACAAAGCTCCAAGGAAAAAGCGGGGAACGGGAGAAACAACTTGTTGACGTCAGCGTTTGATTGCAATGTGTTTTTTAGCAAATCGGGTCTAGCAAAGGGTCCACTCTACCTTCGCGGTGAAATGGGGGCAGTGAAGGGCTGGCAATGACTCAGCTTGCGCTGGTTGCCCATTTGTTGGGGACTCCATTGAGGCATTGCCTTTTTGTGTTTGCTCAATGCTTTTCAGATCGTGACTTTCGGGAAGCCTGGCTAATTGCTCAAAAGCACTGACGAGGGATCGATGAGTGTGTGTGTGTGTAATTACTTCCCACATGCATGGCTCTCACGACTGTTTGCGGCTTCATGTGCTCTTTTGCCGCACATTCAGGCCCGAAGGCAAGAAACTAACCGAGCATTACAACATATCCGCCAACATGGGTAGAGAAGGCGCGATCTCTGATGACACCAAGCATTGCTTGAGACCTGTGTTGAACTGCCGAGTTCACACTTCAATCAAAACCTATGGTTTTTAGGGCTGGCCTGGACAAATCCCTTGACCCGGCTGAGCCGGAGTGTCTGGCGCGAAGCCAAAACAGGCAAACATATGATACATTGGAAGGGATTTCCAGATCACGTTGGCCACCTACCCTCCAACTCTCATGGAACCTGAGTGAAGGTTCCGACAAGTTGTTTAAATGGTTTTCGGACTGGGGGTTCCGGCAAAAACACTTAAATGGTTGTGCGACAAAATGTTGCATGACCATGGGCAACTCAAACCAAAGGAATCCACCGAGTCCATTCAGATTGCCTCGGCGAGTAGAAGTCCTCCACAGACAGGAAGGGCTGCAGCACCCTGGCGTCCCACGGCAAGGCCCAAGGATTTTATCTTTTTTTTTCTTTTTTTTTTTTTTCCCGAGTTTTGGAGCTCAGCAGGTTTAATAATATAACTATCATTACTATTACTACTATCATTATTCGCAGTATTATTAGTATTGTTGTTATTATATTGTTGTTGCTATGATTCTTCTGATGTATCTACATAGAACACCACTTTTATGGGGTAGCTACAGCGTTGCAAGCTTGTATTCATGGTAAGCACCCATACCTCCAAAACCCGCGCCTGGAAATGCCCTTGATTACCCTTGATTAGTGCCTTCTTCAATGGCCCAGCGTCAAATATTAGATTAAACACACGCCTGGCCACGGGCATAATTTCAGCACACACTTGCAACGACTAGCTTCCGTCAAGGGCTTACACATTCTCATCCCCGTCTAATTTGTGGGGAACCACGTGAAGAAGGGGCTCAAACGGGTGCACATGAACTGCGTTGAGTGCAAAGGTCCAGCCGCCTCTCCGAACTTGTCGAATCCAATGTCTGAGGAACTCTGGTATGATTGTTAAGTAACCTACAATGGCATTCTGGCCTATCCAGAAACATCAAGAGTGCAACTGGCGAGCTGGTAAAACAGAATTGAGCAAATACTGTTTCATCACCGACATAATCGTGTGAAACGTTGGCAACCTCGGATTCATTTGCCCGTTGGAATCATAGCGGGTATCACTGTTTAGCATGCTTCACATGCGCAACCCACTGACAAGGCAGGTAGAGATACATAGGTGGCCACTCGCACTCTCCATGCATCCGAATAGTATCTCACAAAAATGGTGACCTCCTGTTCGTCAACCCTTGTGGTCACTAATGAACATTAAGCAACAAACATTGGGAAGACAAAGGGTCTGCAGGTCCGCTTTGGACGCAGCTGGACAGGCACGAGTCTGAGTCATCTGATGCGCTTCACAGGTTCGTCCAGACTGAATGCAAGCCAAACAGCAGCAAGAACACCTCTAAAGACCCTGCGAAGGAAAACCACAAAACAATATACTGATTCCCGCTAAGTGTAACTACCAACTTCTCTTTGAGCGATGCACCTGGCCAAGCAAACAGTGCCCCTAATACAGAACTGCCCAAAACACCCCAACCAAGGAGTAGACCTTCCACAAATCGGCCAAAACACAAGACTCTTCCTGAAGGCAACCTGCGTCAACATGGGGTGTGTGCTTTTGGAGGGTGCCTTTTGGGAGCTGTAAATGGACACCAAAAGAAAACACTCCATTTTTGTTTGGGAGGTCCCTTTAAAATAAAGACACTTCCACAGAAACCACTCAAAGATTCTGGTTTTGGCCCTTTCTTGGCCATCAACCTTCTCCCGTTCCCGAAACACGAGTTCGCATTCGCTGGCCTCTCCAGCTTGTTCAAAGCTGACACTGCCGCGATGCGTTCCCGCGGGAGGGCCACCCTTGGCCTGAAAAAGGATCCCGGGTCAGAGTGAAAACCAATTGGTGTGTCGCAAAAGATGGGACCCCTGAAATGGCGCAATGGGTTTCGCTTTAAAACCAACCCAAAAAGGGATTTGCTCGACAAAAGCACGAAAGCTTCTGTGGTGACGCAATACTAACATTGCGCTTCGCGACCACGCATGTACCCAGGCGGGAGGTTTCGGTTTCCAGCGATTCCAACCTGGCCCCGTGGGGCACTTGACGCTGGAGATAGACATGGACGATGCCACAGGAGACCTGATGAGATCTTTGCTAAAGGCCCAGTCCAAACTGAACATGGAGCCGGCAACATTTTCCGTGTGCCAAGAAGAGGTTGCTGCCAACCATTGATAAGGGCCCAGCTTTGACATGCCGAAGGTGCTAGGTTGCCTTCAGCAACGCGTTCCCTTGCGAATGATGAAAACCACTTTTGACACATCCCGCAACTGCGGATATTTAGCCACAAGGTTCACCCGCACAAGTCTCCCACGCGTCTGGATATGTGAGTGAAGTGCCAAGGACGTTGCAACCAAGTACTTGAGGCCGGAGGGGAAACGAAAGTCAGCGTCCCCGCAAGGTCAACGGCAGCTTCGGTTCGCTTTAAGGGATCGACAGGGAGGAACCAAACGAAAAGACAATAACAATGGCCAAAGCACTCGAAAAGCCCGGCATTGCATCCTCGGTGGTTCCCACATCCGGGAGAACAATGCGCAGAACACACGGAGTGCAACATAGAGCGCCGAAGACTACGAGAAGCGAAGACACGCCACAAGAGCGGACAACAAGTCAAGAGAGAAGAGCAGAGAGAAGAGCGGAGGGAAGAGCTGACATGCAGCCAAAATTATTTCACTCAGATAGCCCGCAGACATGATGCACAGTACTCTGAAATCAATGGCATGACTGGCTAAAGCAAGACTCCAGCTAGCAAGTTGGCCGTTGTGATCAATTCAAAAGCGCAATTGATAAACAAATTGGTCTCAAAACAGTGGAATCCCTATATAACATGGGTGGCTCCCTGGTAGTTGTCCTTTGAGGGGGGGCCCAATTGAAACCCACATTTAACCCTTCCTTGCAGCACACATAGGACCTCGAGTACCTCGAACAGGACTTGGAACTGACTCCGCAACACTCTTTGGGTCGTCTAACAAACATCGCGCCGCAGATTTTTGCGACATTTCCTACTTGCCGTTGGATTTCCCCTTCAAAAGTTGCAATTTTGGGGTCCAAAAATGGGATGAGGGGGGGGCCTGTCTTAGCCCGGCCTCTCGCACTTCACCTTGGCCTTGGGCCGAGCCCGCGCCTGGCAACGTCCGGGTGGTCTCTGAGGACCAAGGTATAGGAATCATTGGGGAGGGCTTACCCGCTAAGAGCCCAGCATTGTGTGACATTGTCAATCAAGTCCCAGCATTTTACCCATGGTTTGATGAATCCGTCGCGCTTTCTGCGCAAATGCCAAACAGATTTCGCGGAGCTTGTTGTGTTTGGAACCGTGAAGCACCCGCGACACATCAAAAGACGCCGAACGATGAGGCGCTCTCGGGCAGGCTGCTACGAAGCAGGTTGCCGCAGTTTTCTTTGTGGTGCCGTGAAGCATCAATTGGTGCCCTCCCAGATTTACAAACGCAAAGATCCCGCAAGGCGCAACACGCCTAGCACGCGCAAACCCCCGCAGTGCGGAGGGGGCTCATGGCCACCCCAGCTGACCAGAGGGCGACAAACGGAAACACCTCGTGGCGTCGGAATGAGTGAGCGCCTACAAATGAAACACACCGCCCAAATCGCCTGAATCGCCTTGAAAACTAGAACGCCTAGGACTGTTGAAGGTCTAGGATGATGTATATAATGTGTATAATATATATCATATATATATATATTATACATATCATTGTTGAGTGCTTTGTGCAATAGCAGATATGCCAAGGCGATCTACAAAAACTGGGGAAGCTTGGGGCCTGACTCTGTTCAGACGCTGAACAAAACGTCCATGCGATTCATTGGCCCCCCAGTCATGATATGCCCACCAAGCCCCGGAGAAAGGAAGACCACTGAACAGCTCGCGCCAACACTTCGGGCCGACACCAAGTTGGTCCCCAACACGTTCTCGATCCCTGCCAATGCTGTTTCGGCTTTGGCTTTGGCTTCAATTTCTCAAGGTAGGAATCTCTGAAATGGCTGGTATCCGTTTGGTCTCCCTGTCAATACAGAGGGTCCACCAATTTGGAGAAACACGACGCGCGATTTGAAGCAAAACTCTGTGTTCGGCTCGAGGCTCTGCGCCTGGCTGCCCCGTACTGAGACCTCGAATCGAGATGCAGCGGCACTCTGAGGGTCAAAAATAGGTACCCCAAAGCCTAGTAAGTGGAAACATGGACCAAAACCTGCGGTCCCTTGGTGGAGTAATTGTGACCCATACCCTAAATGGCCTTACTAAATAATTCCATCTTTCGTGTTTTTGCGGCACGCGTCGAGGCCGGGCATTGACAAGTCTGGCCGCACAGCTCACCCTTACACAGGCAGTGACCGGCTGTGCCATAGTAGCACTTAAGTTGCTCAAAGAATTCAATCCAAATATGCCTTCTGTTGCCAACCACTGACTTGGAGCCAGAAAACGGTTGGTTTCCTTTGGGCTTCCCAACAGCATCCCCCAAACGTGCTCCTTTTCCCAGCTAGTGGAACTGGGCAATCGGTGCCATTGAACTCAGAATCACCCCTCTGATCGCGCTCGCATGCAGGGTGGCCTTTCAGTTGTCCATTGCGCAGGGCGCTGAAATATTGACGACCCTTCATAAAAAAACTGTGTTGGTCAAAGTTGCTGGTCGCTCCCGGGAAACATGTCAATTGGTATAGGGTTTCCATTACCCTCCCGAGCCAAGCAGAGTATGAGTCACATCTGAGCCGCTTCTTCCCTGGGAAGGCCTCTGAGGTGGTGGGCGTCGCAAAAACCAGTGGGTCCCGATTAACTTTCGGAGGGTTCCCTAGGAACAAATCATATGGGTATAGTTCTTTTTAGGGGACCCCCCCAAGAAAACGACAGTTCTCTGTGGTTGGTTTCAACCGGAAAAAGGGCCCGCCACAAGAAGACACGCCCATTGGACCCATGTTGTTTTCCAAAGCCCATTCGATTCCTAAGGCTCCCGGCAGGGTTGCGTGCGGACGACGGCTGTGAAGCCTGCCGCCGCCGAACGTGGCTGGAGGGGTCCGCCGTTGAGCCCCGCGTCTGCGCCCTGTGGCCTTGTTAATCGCATGGACCGATTTCCACTTGGGGAAGGCAATCTCTGTGGGACATGGTCGTAGGATCTCCAGGACCAAGCACGCCAGACCCGGCCATAAACTCCCAGAAATGTCCAACCCGAGGGCCTCACTCCGTTGGCTTGAGGCTAGTGCCATAGAAGGCAAACATCCAAATGTCGCCCAATGACTCTAGTTGCCCTTCAAGAATCACCAAAGCATGCAGGAAAAAACAGCAGCTGAATGTGAAAAAAATCACAAAGCAAGGTTACGCATAATTAACGATTTTAAGGTAGGTCCTGCTGGCAATCTGTGTGATATGCTACCGTAGCAACATGGTGAAATGAAGCCTGATGCCTTCCCTTAGTGCAGATGGCCAGTAGCGGTCGGACCATGTTGCAATCTTTTTGACTCTGGGAATTGTTGGGATTTCATGGAACGATTTTGAGGGGCTCCCAGTTTTAAAGCTGGTGTGTCTGTCTGTGTGTGATTGCGTGTTTCCAGACTGCCGGAGTTACCCATGTTTGGGGCTCCATCTTGCCGAAGCTCGAGACTTCTTGAAGGAAAATCGTGCGAAACCTTGAACTCGGCCTTGACTGCGTCCGGAAAGGTCACGGAGCCAAGGTGTTGGGACCGGTGACTTTGAATTTTATAGTTGGACCCGTTGGTGGACATCAAAAAGGATGGGTGTGGTTCATGTCGACCATTTTTTTGAGGATACATATTGAACCACACCTAATTTGACCGCATTAAGCTCGCCCGCTTTTCAGGATGGATATTCATAGTACTAATTATCGCGAGCCGATTTGGGTGACGGATGGGGTTTTTTATGTCGTACCCAGGTGTGACAAGCCCTTCCCCCGGCAAAACAGGGCAACCTAACCTAGTTTCATACAAACTAACCTCTGGTTTGCCATAATGTGCAAACTCAATCTCTCGGGCGCATAAAAAAAAGCTCCTAGCATCAATACTGTGTTGTCTTATGATTGGGGTTTAAATCCAAAATCTAAAAGTCTAAACTTAGAGTCTAAAACGCTACCCAGGTGTGGCAGGCCCTTCCCCCGGCAAAACAGGGCAACCTGACCTAGTTTCACACAAACTAACCTCTGGTTTGCCAGAATAGTGCAAACTCAGCTCGTGGTCATGGCAGCCGCCGATACAGACATCAGCCGGACCTTCATTTTCTCACGCAGGCCAAGTGCACAACATAAACCCAAGCATCGTGCATCATATGTAGTAGCGTCATCCACCTGATGTGTTCACTGTTCACTTCCTTTCACTACCACGACATTCACATAATACTAGGAAGGCTCGTGGCAAGATAGTGCAGATATAAGAGAAAGTAAGTAGATAGTCTAGATTAGATACCGGACACTTAGTCTGAACTTGGTATCTATTGTTTCTTCTAATGGGAAGATACTAAAGAAAAAAGATACAGCAAAAAACCAAAGATAACAAAAAAAAAAGAAGTTAAAACATAAAAAACAGATAAACAAGATAAAAAGGACAAAAACAAACAGTTAAAAACAGATTAAACAACGATTACAAGATAAACACATGCACAGAGTTACAAAGAGCTTGCCCTGCAGCAGAAGACATGTTGCAACAGGTAATTAGCAGGGAAGGGGCCGGATAAATCAATAGTTGCGACTTTCGTGCTGGAACTGTGGAAGTGTCAAGCACTTTTTCTCTCATGACAGACTAACAAGAGCCCCCCCTTACATACCTCCTTACCAAGATTCGCGCTGCGTGGGGCGTGACATACCTTTAAAAAGTCATAGCCATATATAATCATCATCCGAACAATGGCATCATCCTGGCGCAATAATATTTGTACCTGTTACAGTGAAATAAGTATCTGAAAATCCCCAAACGTAAAACAAATTAAGAGGCAAAACCTGGCTTTGCAAAAAGGAGCGGGCCGCTTTTTCCATTTAGTTTGGGTTTGTGGTTCAGGGTGTTCATTTAGTTTGGGTAGGCGGTTTGGAGGGGGCCGGTTCTCCGTCTATCGGTTGCTGGTTTGGAGGGGCCGCTCGATTCATTTAGTTTGGGTTGGTAGTTTGGAGGGGGCCACTTTTTCCATTTAGTTTGGGTTGCTGGTTGGGAGGGGCCGCTTGTTTCATCTAGTTTGGGTTGATTGTACTAATTTCACGTAATTTTCGTCGGTGGTTTGGAGGGGTCCGCTTTTCCATTTGATGGTTTGGGGGGGGGGTGCGGGGGGGGCGGTTTTCCATTTCTTTGGGTTGCTGGTTTGGAGCGGCCGTTTGTTTCATTTAGTTTGGGTTCGTTGTGTGGAGGGGCCGCTTTTTCCGTTTGGTTTGGGTTGATGGTTTGGAGAGGCCGCTTGTTTCATTTAATTTGGGTTGGTTGTGTGGACGGGCCGCTTTTTCAATTTAGTGTGGGTTGAGGGCTCTAGCTTTATTCAATTTTCGTTGTTGGTTGGGAGGGGGCCGGTTTTCCATTAGTTTCGGTTGCTGGTTAGCAGGGACTGATTGATTTATTTAGTTTGGGTTGGTAGTTTGGAGGGCTCCGCTTTTTCCATTTGGTTTGGGTTGATGTTTGGAGGGGCCGCTTGCTTCATTTAGTTGGGGTTGGTTGTGTGGAGGGGCCGCTTTTTCCCTTTAGTTTGGGTTGATGGTTCTAGTCTCAGGTGGTTTGGAGGGGGCCGGTGTGTAATTAGTTTCGGTTGCTGGTTTGGAGGGGCCGCTTGTTTCATGTAGTTAGGGTTGGTTGGTTGGAGGGGCCGCTTGTTTCATTTAGTTTGGGTTGGTGGCAGTTACCCAACTTGGGTCGCTCAAGTCATGCTTCTTTACTTGGGAATTTAGGAAAAACAAATTAGGTCAACATCCAGAGCCCCTCGAATCTGAGTTCCTGGACTGAAGGACAAACAAAAAAGGTCGATAACCCTGGCTTGGTTGGGGAGACCAACAAAGTTCAAAAAGTTCAAAACACCGGGCCCCCAAAGTGATGTTTCGGGGAGTTCAAAAAGTTCACAAAGTTCAAAATCCCGGGCCCCCACAGTGATGTTTCTTTACTTGGGGAGTTCAAAAAGTTCAAAAAGTTCAAAATCCCGAGCCCCAAACGTGATGTTTCTTTACTTGGGGAGTTCAAAAAAATCAAAAGTACAAAATCCCGAGTCCCAAAAGCTTCCTTACCTGGGGAGTCAAAAAGTTCAAAAAGTTCAAAATCCCGAGTCCCAAACGTGATGTTTCTTTACTTGGTGGGTTCAAACAAATCAAAAAGTTCAAAATCCCGAGCCCCAAACGTGATGTTTCTTTACTTGGGGAGCTCAAAAGAATCAAACAGTTCAAAATCCCGAGTCCCAAAAGTTTCTTTACCTGGGGAGTCAAAAAGTTCAAAATCCCGAGCCCCAAACGTGATGTTTCTTTACTTGGTGGGTTCAAACAAATCAAAAAATCAAAATCCCGAGTCCCAAAAGTGATGGTTCTTTACCTGGGGGGTTCAAAAAGAAAAATATCAAATGCATGTTTTTGCACAGTTGGTGTTTTTCAGGGCCTGTCACTGGCCTGCTTGGTCGGCCTGCTGCTTTTCATGGAGTGGGATTTCTTCAGTAGAGCTTCCCATTTGCTTGTTGTCTCTAGCTGCCATTTATTTGGGGGAAGGTGGATTTGTTTCAGGGCCTGTCACTGGCCTGCTTGGTCGGCCAGCTGCTTTTCATGGAGTGGGATGTCTTCAGTAGAGCTGCCCATTTTCTTGTTGTCTCTAGCTGCCATTTTTTTTGGTGACGGCGGATTTGTTTCAGGGCCGGTCACTGGCCTGCTTGGCCTGCTTTTCACGGAGTGGGATTTCTTCAGTAGAGCTTCCCATTTGCTTGTTGTCTCTAGCTGCCATTTATTTGGTGAAGGTGGGTTTTTTTCAGGGCCTGTCACTGGCCTGCTTGGTCGGCCTGCTGCTTTTCTTGAAGTGGGATTTTTCCATTGGGCTTCTAGTTTGCTTGCTGTCTCTAGCTGCCTTTTTTTTTGTGAAGGTGGGTTTTTTTCAGGGCCTGTCACTGGCCTGGTTGGTCGGCCTGCTGCTTTTCATGGAGTGGGATGTCTTCAGTAGAGCTTCCCATTTGCTTGTTGTCTATAGCTGCCATTTATTTGGGGGAAGGTGCATTTGTTTCAGGGCCTGTCACTGGCCTGCTTGGTCGGCATGCTGCTTTTCTTGAAGTAGGTTTTTTTTCCATTGGGCTTCTAGTTTGCTTGTTGTCTCTAGCTGCCTTTTTTTTGGTGAAGGTGGGTTTTTTCAGGGCCTGTCACTGGCCTGCTTGGTCGGCCTGCTGCTTTTCTTGAAAAGCATTTTTCCATTGGGCTTCTAGTTTGCTTGTTGTGTGTGTGGCTGCCAGTTTTTTTTGTGCAGTTGGTTTTTTCAGGGCTTGTCACTGGCCTGCTTGCTCGGCCTGCTGCTTTTCTTGAAGTGGGATTTTTCCATTGGTAGGGTGTCATGACCGCGTCCTCTGACAGTGCGGTCTTGATGATGTCATCAGGTGTCGGCCTCAAAAAAACAGCTCCTCAAACCCAATCGTGTTTTTTATAACACTATGTGACTATGTGTGCATAAAGTGTGGAATATGCAAAACCTGAGGGCACACATGCATAACTTCTGCATAACTTCTGCATAACTTCTGCATAACTTCTGCATAACTTCTGCCTAACTTCTGCATAACTTCTGCATAACTTCTGCATAACTTCTGCATAACTTCTACATTAAAAAAAACACATAGGCTGCATAACTTCTGCATATATGCAGAAGTAATACTGATTTTAGTAGGGCAACTTCTGCATATATGCAGAAGTTGTTTTGTCAGTGACATAGGCTGCATAAAGCAATTCCTATGCAGAAGTTATGCAGAAGTTATGCAGAAGTTATGCAGAAGTTATGCAGAAGTTATGCATAGGTTATGCGTAAAACGGTTTTTATACGCAACAATCATTGAACAATACATACGCCGCGCAAAAGTCGCATAGAATTGTACCAAGTTGACAGTACTAAGAAGGCTCGCAGTCAGATAGCTCGGAAATAGAGGATAGTATGTCAGACATAAGTCTGTTTATCAGGTGGTTAACCTATGTTTATCTTAGATTTGTTTGGCTATGTTCCGGCGGACTTATAGTAGACTTAGGAGTAGCTACTCGGGAAAGTAAAAGATAATAAGTTTTCACATATTCTCTACTAAAACATATGGAAGATATTAACAGATAGTATCTTTTTTGTTTTATCTTTGTTTATCTTTTTTTGTTTAATCGTTTTGTATTTGTTTTAATCGTTTTTTACCTTTTTCAGTCGTTTTTCATTGGGGTTTGCCAGTTTAGATAGCGAGCCATATGTGCTTTTCAAGCAAAAGGACATTGCTACTATTACGAGGCGCATCAGCTGTATTGTGATGAAGCCCTCCAAAAAAGTCCCACTTCACCAAAAGCAGCAGGCCGACCAAGCAGGCCAACTACAGGCCCTGAAAGGGGTCCAGCTTCACAAAAAAAATGGCAGCCACAGACAGCAAACAAATTAGAAGCTCTACTAAAAGAGAACCATTTCACGAAAAGCGCCAGGCCGACCAAGCAGGCCAGTGAAAAGCCCTGCTGCGCAGAGAAAACAAGGCAGGCACACACAACAACCAAACTAGAAACCTAATGGGAAAATCCCACTTCACGAAAAGCAGCAACCCGACCAAGCAGGCCAGTGACAGCCACACACACAACAAGCAAAAGCAACAACCCCCAGCATCCCCAGCAACACACCGCCAAAAAAAAACGAGGGAAAAACTGTAGTCGGGGCACGTTGGGCCTGACTACAGTTTTTTCCCAACCGTTTCCCAAGCGTTTCTAAGGCCAGCGTCCCCAGCATCACCAGCAACACCCCCAGCATCCCCAGCAACACACCGCCAAAAAACTAAACGATGGAAAAACTGTAGTCGGGGCACGTTGGGCCTGACTACAGTTTTTTCCCAACCGTTTCCCAAGCGTTTTAAGGCCAGCGTCCCCAGCATCACCAGCAACACCCCCAGCATCCCCAGCAACACACCGCTCAAAAAATGATGGAACAACTGTAGTCGGGGCACGTTGGGCCTGACTACTGTTTTTCCCTCGCGTTTTTAAGGCCAGCGGCGCCAGCAACACCCAGCATCACCGGCAAAACCCCCAGCAGGCCCCAGCATCCCCAGCAACACACCGCCTAAATCATGAAGATAAAACTGTAGTTGGGATACGTTGGGCCTGACTACAGTTTTCCCCTAGCGGTTTGTACAGTGTGTGAACAGATTTTGCGAACAATGGTGGCTGGTCGAAAAGTCTGCAAATTGCTCAAAAGATGTTGAACAGATTCTGAACTGACAGCAAGTTTGCAAGTTGGTGAAAGGTGGCAATAAGATTGTGAACAGATTGAGTTGGTAAGTGTTTGGCAAGTTTGGAAAATGTTGGCAAATGTGCGATTTGTTGCAAGCTGGTGAAACACGTGAAACAATGGTGAACTGACAAACAAACATGAACGTTTGTGAAAATATAGCAAACTGCTGGACATTTGACAAGTTCGCAAAATGTTGGCGAACTTGCGAACATTTGGCTAGTTGGCGAGCAAATGGTGGACAGATTGTGAGTTGGTAAAAAGATTGTGGAAAGATGGTGAACTGCCGAAATGTTGGCAAGTCGGTAAAAAGTTGGCGAATCGGCGCTTTTGTTTGCAAGTTTGTAAAAGAGGGTGAGTTGGTAAAATGATGGTGAATAGATGGTGGGTTGGTGAAAAGATTGTGAAAAGATGGTGAACTGCCGAAAATTTGGCGAATTGGCTCTTTTGCTTGCAAGTTGGTAAAAAGATGGTGAGTTAGTGAAAAGATGGTGAACAAATGGTGAACTGCCAAAAATTTGGCAAGTTGGTGAAAAGATGGTGAAATTCCTGACCTCTTGGAAGTGTTCCACAAGTGTTCCAGTCCTCCGAAGAAGTGTTCTGGAAGTGTTCCAGCTGTGCCCAGAAGTGTTCCACCTTGTCACCATCTTTTCACAATCTTTTCACCAACTTTTCAATTTTTCGCAAATTCACAAACTTTTTACCACCTAGCTAAATTTTCAGCAGCTCACCATCTTTTCACCAACTTTTCACCAACCCACCATCTTTTTACCATCATTTCACAATCTTTTCACCGACTTGCCAATTTTTCGCACATTCACCAAATTGGACCAACTTGCCAATTATTCGGTAGCTCACCATCTGTTCACCATCTGTTCACAATCTTGTCACCAACTCACAATGTGTTTGCCAACTTTGTTCACTGACTTGCGAAATTTTCGGCAGTTCACCATCTGTTCACCATCTTTTCACCAACTCACCAACTTTTGCCAACATTTCGGCAGTTCACCATCTTCTTACCATCTTTTCACCAACTCGCGACCTGTTTACCATCTTTTCACATCTTTTAACCAACTGGCCAAATTTTCGCTTTCGCCAACATGTTGCAAGCTTGTCAAATTTGCAACAGTTTGCGATCTGTTCACCATCTTTTCACCAACTTGCCAAATATTCACAGCTCACAATCTGTCCACCAACTTGCTCACTTTTCGGCATTTCACCTTCTTTTACCAACTTGCAAATTGTTCACCAACTCACAATCGTTTCACCATCTCTTCGCAAACTTGCCAAATTTCACAAACTCGCCATCTTTTCACAAGCGTCTCACCAACTTGCCAGATTTCCACCAGCTCACCATCTTTTCACCAACGTGCATTTTTTTGCAACCCACCGTCTTTTCACCTTCTTGTCACCAATTTTGTTCTACAAAGTCATCTTTTCGCCATCTTTTCACCACTTACCAAAAGGTTCACCAACTCGCCATCTTTTCTGTTGTCTGTTCGCAAATTTGGCAGACGTTCACAGACTCCCGTTTTTTCCTCAACTTGCACACGTTTCACAAACTTGCAAACTTTTCACCAGCCCACCATCTTCTGACTCTCAATCTTCTCACCGCTTTCAAACTGTTACTCTGCGCTCCTTTCACAACAGCCCCACATTTTCACAACACTCTCACCTGCTTACTTCTCAAGCGTCACCAACTTCTCGCCAGTGTTCACCACCAACTCACCATATTGCGTTATTACAGACGACACCAAAAGAAGTTTTAAACACTCCGAACCTACCCGCAGTTCAACTCCATCCTCGCTGTCTAAATTTAAGCATGGCATGAGACTGAGGCGGGGCGTTGCTTGTGTGGACAATTCAAGTAAAATTGAGTCACAAAAGGCCCTTGCGAGCAATGATTTGACGCCTCATTTTGTACTCAGTGATTACATTTCTTTGTGTAGGCAACCAAAGAAACCACCCTTTTAGAAAAAGCAACATGGCGAAGAAACACTAACGTGGGGGGTTGCCTGGGATCGCCTGGGATATGTATATATGTGCATATATACACACGCATATGGGATCGTAACAAGATAGGGGAACCCCCCAACCAAACATACGCTAGAAGAACGGGGGGGCGAAAGCAAAGTTCGCTCAGCAAGCTTCTCTGCGCAAGTTTCTGAGCAACTTTCTCTGAGCAAATGTGTCTGAGCAAGTTTCTCTCACATTCTCTAAGCAAGTTCTCTGAGCCAGTTCTCTGCGCAAATTTCTCTGCACAAGTTTTCTCTGCGCAAGTGCTCGGCTCAAAATTATCTGCGCAAGTTCTCTGCGCGCTCTCGCGCTAGCTTCTTTCACGTTTTGCGCCCGTCTACCAAAGAAAAGAAATCGGTGCGCTGACGCGCTGAACGTTCAACCATATGTACTTTGCGAGGAGACTGAGTCTACCCGAACAAATGAAACCGTCTGTGCTGACTGCTAAAAAACAATCGTATGAACAGTGCGTGGAGTCTTGTTAAAGAAATAAAAAATAGACCGTGCTCAGCGCCCGTTTTGTTTTTTACCTTCGCGCATGCCCTTGACACCTGAATGCGCCTGATTGCTCTGACCATTGAAAATTGACGTATAATTCTTACCCAAATCGGCTCGCGATAATTAGTAATTCATAGCGTGAGCAAAGCTTCTGGTTCTGCTCCAAAGTCAATCGTGCAACGTGATCGCCATGTCCGTCCTTGTTCTTTCACATGCCCGCACACCGGTTCCAAAATCGCCTAAGAGTCCAGTTCTTCACCGGTTGAACTATAGCTGAAGGGGCCCCAAGACACAACAACTGGCCAAAATGGGGATTCGCTATGGTGTTCAACCGATCCTGCGTCTTTTTTGCAAAGCCATGGCCAATGACAATACTTTTTCTGCTTGTTCTACACGTCATGGATCCTCCCCAGTCAGTGGAACAAAATGGTCCCCAAAACCAGTTGGGCTCCAACTGGCCGGTGGGTTCCTATTTTTAATTTGAACTTTGGAATTTGTACAAAGCTGCAGCTTGTCGGAAAGCAGGGACTGGAGAGCAGGGAGGGAAAGGATGCCTTAAGCCCCTTCCATTTTCCCTCAATTGGCCCCCGAAAAGGGCATGATGGTTTCAGTAGACCTAACATGTTCCCTCGTAGCATGTTGCCGTGATGTGGGGTCTTGAAATTGAGGAACCCGAAAAGGGATTCGGTTCTCTTGGTGTCTCTTCAACATAACCACATGGAGGTGGGTCGGGGGGCTTGCAAAGGAACGTGGTCTTCCAAACCCGGGTCAGCTTCCAGCAATGGAAAGAGGGTACCCGCAAAAAAGCCACGCCCCACGTCGATTTTTTGGGGCTCCCTAAGCAGGTGAGGGACTCTGAGGCGGCCTCTCCCTCCAGCGCTTGACACATCTTCTCCGCCCAGGCGATCACCTGTCGTCTGAGGCGAGTTGGTTTGGAGGCTGGGTCGTTTCCCATTTAGCCAAACCAGGGGTTCGAATTCAGTGAGTTGTTTTATTTCATTGAAGCTCTTGGCAGGTTGGTTTACAAGGAAACCCGAACAAAAACCACCGGAAATCCATGGGGGCATCCCTATTTTGACGCATGCCAATGAGGGTGTGTCTTCCCAGTTGCAACCAGCCTGAAAGGTGCTCCTAGGAGCCAAGACCCTCGCCCTGGTTGAAGAGTTTCCCAAGGCACACTCGGGCAGCTGGCTTGTTTTGGATGGGGGTGTCCCTTCAAACTACTGGAAAACGGTACCCTTAAAGGAGCACACACAGAGATGAACCAGTAAAGTCACGACGCCAGAACAGCGGCAACTCAACTCGGATGGGGGAAGGGTCTGACCCCTCCTTTCCCTGCCCTCGGTCAAGATGTGGTGACTTCTTGGGGTTGGTATAGAGGGCAACCAACAGGAAAACAGCCAACAAATGTTCAGAACAGCGGACTGTGTAAGTGCCTTTGTTCGCGTGTTTTGTTATTTCTGTGTAAATTGCATGCAGCTTTGTTGTATTGATTGTTTGGGATGTGTGCACGTTTCTGTTGTTGTGAAGCATTTCCGGGTTTGTAAAGGAGTACAATTGTCGAGACAACCAAAAAACAAACTCAAAAACGTAACAATAAAATAAACGCAACCTTCAAACAGTCTATCCACTGGATCAGCCCTACCCAAAGCCAAAACCAAAAACAACCAGGTTTGAATAAATTGTGTTTGCATGTGAACTGATGTATTTTGCAAGTGAAGCTCTATTGAACAGGACATCCTGCGTAAATCATAAATTGAAATACACAAGATGTTGCATAACTTATAGTTCAAAATAGACACTATGATTGTGTTCTTTCCTATTAAATTCCACCTAAACTCAAGTTGATCTGCAAAGGTCTATCTGTTAAGGATATTCTATCTAAACTTGAACTCACAATCAAACAATGCTTTCCACCAGAACTCGGAGCAAGTATTTCCTTATTGAGTCCTATTTCAAATATATTCAGAACTTTAGTCCAATTGTAGAGAGCGGCCATTGGTGGAGATGTGAATTTAGGATGAACAATGCTATCAATACTGTGTTGTCCGGTGTTTTGTGACTATGGTAGTGCCGGGGCTAGGAACGCGATTGTTGGACCTCTAAACTCTTTCAAGGAATCATACTTAATATATTTATCACATTCGATTCAAATTCGACTGAGGCAAAATAGAACTCAAAAATCAAATAAACACATGAATTTATTGTTAGGCTGACATTCTATGCTGATGATTCTATTTCAAAACCAATGTTACACAGGATATCCCTTTCCAATAGAATGTTCTCTACAAATAATCGAATATTTGAACGCAACTGATACAACAAGAGCTCAACATAAGCAAAGCAAGTGCAAGCAGCAGATGCAGACGTGCACGCACCAGCCAGATCAAACAATACCGCAAAACGTGCTCTGTTTAGTCCCCAGCCTTCCAACTTTCGCGTTCCCGAATTTGATGCACATGACATGCCATCCCATCCCAAACAGCGCAAGTGCAAGTGAAACCGTTTCTCGAGCCGGGCTGCCCGGCCCAGCTTTCGAGCCTCGCAGGGTCCTGGAGAGGTGCAGAGGTCTTAGGGCTTTGCGACAGGACCGCCGTTGATAGAAAAACACTCTCGAGGATGGTGCAAAGGCCTCAGAGACAAAATGTCGAAAGGCTTCAAATGGTGGCCTTGCAGAGAGTCACAGTCTTGACATCTTTCTCGATGGGTGAGGTTGCAAAGCCCCTGTGTGAGGTTATTCTAATTTGCCCAGATTGATGATATTGGCTGACAACGTCCAGTGAATAACCAATTGTAACATGAAGGGCACCAGCAAAAGCAGAACCCTTCCTTTACAAGCGTACCAATAGGACTAGACTCCACGCGCAGCCCATCCCAGACCAACAAAAAATTAACTCAACTTGGCTCGGTCCTCGCCATTCTGCACCACCCTGGCGACATGCGTCCCGCGGACCCCGGCAGCGACCGCAACGCCAACGGCCCTTTGGGTCAATTGTTCAAAAGGGCCGCGTGTAGATGCACGTCTTTGCACTTTTCGCACTTTCGCAGCGCCTTTAGTTTCTACGGGCAACCTGATGCAAGCAACATGTCAATGTGAACACAAGTTCGCGAATCAAATGTGCAACCAGCTTAGCGGCTTAGCGCAATGGACGGATGCACCCTGCGCCCATCCTGCCCCGACTGCTCATTCAGCGATCCAAGGTTGACAACAGCAACCACTGAAAGGAAGCAATTCAAAAAGAGCGCTTGCCAAAACTCATCACAACCACTCCCATGAACGTAGTTTAGCTAATATTAAGCTTTAGTTCTCAGGGTGTCAAAGGCACGGGTTGGTTTTGGACAAGTCAGAAGCTACCATGGCTCAACCCCACGCGCAGCAATAAGTAAACGCCGATCCGCTAAGATTGTCGTGGTGCTAGTGGATGTTCTTTCAAGTTTCAAACAATTGCAGAAAACTCATGCACACTTGCATAAGTCAAGTGATGGTTGTGAGCAGTACCATTCTGACAAGAAGACAAGGCACAAACATATTCATGCCAGAGCGTTGCCAGCCAGCTAGGGACCAATCAGTTGGTTTTGCGGTGTTTCCGCCCCCCCCCCCCCCCCCAAACACACGCCCAATAACACTGCCTTAACTTCATGGGCAAAAGCCACTATTCACATGCCACCCAATCGGAGCAGGGCTCCGCACGGCAATGCCATGCTTACACCCAAATGATGTTTCCTGTTGTCTGTTGGTTGGAAAATACATGCGTCCCCATGTCAGACAAGTTCGATCCAAAGGACAGGGTCCCCCCCCCCGTCCGGCCTCGTCGCGGTAGGCTCTTGCCGGACTTCCTGAGCATCGGCATCATGGTCCAGCCGGAAAGTGTCCGCTGGGCTTGGCATGTGACCACATCGAATTGGGGAGTGGTGTCTTAGGTGGTGTCCCTGTTGCGTCCTGTTGGTGTGTTAATGTCCATTGGGTGTTCCGGTTGGTTTTTGGGTGGTGCTGTTCGGCTGGTCCGTTGCTCATATCCTAATGGTGTTTGGCTGTCTAGGTATCCTCGTGGTGTTTTGCTGGTGAACCGCTGGTGTTTGGTGGTATGTCAGCTGTCCCGGTGGTGCTTTGGCGTTGTCTCGCTGATGGTTTGGTGCCCCGGCGGTCCGTTTGTTCCAGTGGTGGCTGGTGTCCCGTTGGTGTCCAGCAACCATGAGCGTTGTGTAAATCGGACAAGAAGGGTGACACCCTGTGACGAGCCGACGCAAGAAGGACTGTGGGAATTGCAGAGCAGCACACATATCGGGGTCTGTCGCTGGGTTAACATCACAAGGGTTACCACAGTGTTTTTGGGGGGCCTAGTGTCTGCTTTAAGACGCACCAAAATGCTAACCCCTGAGTGCAACCCGCGGTCGGGCGTAAGCGATCCGCGTGACTCCAGTCTTCCCAAGTGAGACCGCAAGGTCTGCAAAAGACTATGCGTGCATTGATCAAGCCAAGCATGTTCAGAAGCAAACTATACATCCATCTAGTCATGGAATAAACATGTTCTTTTAAGATTGATGTCGAAAAGGCGCAAACAGCCCAGGCAAAACTGCATCCGGCAAGAAAGAACAGCGCATGTGGACGGCTTGCAAACGGTTTCTAACATTCGTGAAGTCGCAGGGGCTACATTGCACTCTAAGTCTGGTACTAAACTCATAGCGTGAATGGGGGGAATCAATCAACCTAGTTTTTCTAGACTTCCCCTTTGTTTGAACCCCCCCCCCAACAAAAAAAATAAAATGCGGGATAACTCCCGGTTTCCCAAACGCGGGACCCCCGCGTCAAGCCCCGTGCCGCCCGTGCCGCGCCTCGGGTGCCGGAGCGGCGAAGGCCTCCCAGACCGGAGCCGCGCGCGCTTTGGATGGTTTCAGGCGGGTCTTTCTCGGGAGGTGCCAGTTTGGGGGTAGGTGAACCCCTTGCTGCTTGGTGTGGCAAATTCGCCAAAGAAAGAGCCCATATGAGCCCATGGAGGCATGCGCACTCGAAAGCCTGCGAGCCACCAGGTCCAGAAACCACTGCCCGTCGGAGCGCGTTTGGGGTCCGCAGCCCCTCCCCACCCGCCTTGGGCCGCACGGTCCTCAGGACATGAGTCCGAAGTTGAAGAAACGGACAACATCTCTCAGTCCCAACTCGAGACGCATTTCGCCCAGCTCTGAGTGCGAAGCCATGATTTGTCATAGATTTAACAGTTGGATGCCTCAAGGCAAGGGTTCGAAGGGTTCAGATTGGGCGCCCCCACGCAGGCCAGGCGATGCCCGGACGGCCTGAGACGGGTGGAACCCAAAAAATGGCGTTGTTTTGGTTTCCTTTCACACCATACCCAAACAGCGTACCCGCCAAACAACACAGGCCAATATGGTGCGTTCAACCTGCCTCCACGTGTCGGCATGCTGTTTGAAAGCATAAGATGCCAAACTCTGGGCATGGACCAAAAGCCGTTGTTGCGTATGTGACCGCAATGGAGCAGCGGAGAGTACTGAAGCTTGGCAAGCAAGAAACGCTTAAGGCAAGCAAGGCGGCGATTGAGAACCGCGTCCACAGGTGTCTATGGGTGAAATCTTGAGGGTACCCCTTTTCTTGTGGACCCAAAGGGAAACAGAAGGAACATCGCATTTTTTGGGGTTCCCCCAACAAAGACACACCCATATATTGACTTATCCGTATTCCTTCTTGAGGGCACAACAGGTCTGCAGGAGAGCTCAACAACGACAACAAGTTGCAGGATTAGCAAGCAAGGACTAATCGTTTGAGCCATAAGCTGTACGACCCTCAGTCTTTGCTCGAAACTCATGTGTCCAGATTCGTATTCACTGATCAATAGAAGGGTGTCCAGAACATTTAGGGAACCCTTTGCTTTTGAAGTGGGAATTAGCTGTCCCAGGACCCATTCCCATCTACCAAATAACCACGCTACAATCCCCTAGGCCCTGGTGGCCCTGTGTGCCATGGTCAAAGCTCCTAGGGGCCATGGACATACTTCCTTGTACGAAAGAATTACCATGAGGCCGTCCACAGGTCCAAATATCCTGTATCCAAATGCCACAAGGTTCATCACTTGGTCAAAACAAATGACAAAACCCAACCCTGTCACGGGCTCCATCCCAAGTGGCGCCAAGCGGTTTTTGGTATATCCAGGTCCCTCGAGTTTTTCCAGGAGGTTGACACAGCCCACAGGCCCAGCTCCCTCCCTCCGTCAGCCCTGAGGACTGGACTCATGCCTCAAGCGCCATAGCCCACCGCGAGCGCGAGCGGTGCTTTGATCAGACACCGCTGGTGCGGTCAGGTGCTGTCATGGTGAGGTGCTGGAGTATCATTTGTGGATATCATCAGCATACTATACCATGCTTGTCGTTTTTAGCATGATCATAGCAGATGCATTAATGCTGTTGATGGTCAGCCGCACTCACAATCCTGAGCATCATTATCTGTGCCAAAACATTGGATACATTCTGCCAGTAAAACAAATGACGCTGGGGAAGCCTGGATTAAACTCACATGCATGCTCGTTGTAGCCTTCTTCTTCTTCTGGCTTGATCTGGCTGTAAGGCTTTCAGATTTGCACGGTGCATCCTTGAGCCTGTCATCTTCCGGGACCTATTGAAACACAAATGCAAACCTGAAACGCTCAAGTCCGGCCTCTTGCGTGCTTCAAAGCAAAAACGAAGGCTCGCTTGTTTGAATCTGCGCCTTTGCCCAAGCTCAATCGAACGAAACAAGCCTTGCTTCTGCTTGCCTGTGATCAGAACATGTACAGTGCATTAAAGCTCTTGGGCGCTGTGGGAGGATTTTTTCTCAGGAAGGCGAGCGAATGAACTTCTAGCCTGAAACAAAACAGGGAAACGGGTGGAACTCCACAAAACACCCGCGCGCCAGAGACAAACAGCAGGCCATCCGGAAAGACGGCGCTTCCGCATGCGCCCATAAGAAAGGCTACCCAGGCCTCGAGTTTCAAGTGGGTATACCTATTTTGCGAAGGTACCCTTTTCGGGATTGCTTCTTTTTCAGTACCCAGTTAAGGAAAACTAATTACAATGTGGGCCGCTTGGACAAACCCAAGTATTGCGTCCTGGCTGCGTTCAGGCGCAGGTTTGAGACACGTCTGCCAAGCCAAACCACCTCGAGACCGCCGCCAGTCCCAATTCGGAACATGGATGCCATGCCTTGGGTATTTGAGGCGCTCTCAAAATGGTAGCTCCAGATTGTGGTTGCCAAAAGGGAAATCAAATGGAAATTCCGCCCATTTTAGGGGGTCCTCTATTTTATTCGATTTTGAAAATTGAAACCACAAATTTGAAAACTGGGTGTGTGCTTTGAAGGGAAACAACAGAAACAAACATGGGTGTGGCTCAAAATAGGGTAACCCCAAAATGGGACCCTGGTAAATGGAAACAAGGACCAACAATTGCGGTCCATATCCTGGTGCTTTAATTTTGACCCATACACACATGGGTATGAATTTCAATTAGGGACCCTTTGGACTCAAATTCGGTGGGGATGAAAATAAAAGGTCCACCAATCACTTTTCATCGGGTTCCAAGCACTAAAATTCCTAGCCACATCTTTATTGGAGCCCCCGTGCATTGGAGCCGACGCTCCGGGAAGCTCTCTGAGGCCAGGGCTGAGCCATGCTGCAATCACCTGAGGTCATCGAAGATGTCACAAGCTCGGGGCGAAAAAGGAAAACCAACCACTTGGAATGGGACTTGGTTTGGTCGAATCCCGCCTCACACACAGAAAACAAAACAACAACAAAAATGGAACCTGCTAAATGGAAAAGTAGACTAAAGCTTTGTTTGAATCCGTCACTCCCATGAATTTCGGGCTTCCTGCAAGTGACGCTTGGAGGAATTGCGTAAAGCGAGGAATTCCTCAACGTGTCATGGCTTGAAGTCCACCCCGAAAATACCGGCACGGCTTTCACCTTATCCTACGCTCCAAAAGCGAAGGCCATGAAACTTGTGAAACCTATCATGCTCGATACCCTCTCTGGGCCAATGACAACGGGATCCTACCTTCACGAGAAAGCTCGATCGCAAGTGGCCACTGCAAATCTCCGAATCCACCGCCAACATAGTTGTCGACATGCTGAACCTTTGTTTCAACCGCCCGTTGGACAAGATTTGTCGCCTTGCCCCAAAATGGGTCTTAGCTTCACGGAAGGTGGTTGCCACCTGGAGTGCAAACCGAGGATTTTGCAGTTCAAATCCGGATTTGGTTTTTAGGTAAGAACTCCGAATGGCTGGGTTTTCAAAGTTAGGAGCCTTTTCAACCATGCCCGAGAGCTGAGATCCCGGCAGCAACCAACCAGCCCCTTCTGCGCATGGCACAGCACCATGTGCCATCCCGACTGTGACAATTCCAACTCGGTCTCTTGACGTCTTTCGATCATTCCACCGCTGCTATGTGCTGCCCAAGGCTCAACATCAGCTCATGCCGAACTGGTGAAGACCTGTGCATGTAAATGCCGCAACAGAAATGCATGAAGGAATCACACAAATACACAAACTTGGCGTTTATCTGTCTGGTTCAAGGTAAGCGCTGCTGAAGGCCCAAAGCGACTGTTCACCACAAAATGACTTCCGAACAACATCAGACGTGTGTAGCAGATTCTTGTAAGCTTGATCTATGGCCCCTGTATCCGCAATCCGCAAAAACAAAAGCTACGTTGGATCGCTGATGGCCGCGGCAAGCAAAATCCCCAAACGTTGGACCGTCAACATAGCGAGCGCAAAGCGGACTGCATCCTTTTTGCCAAACAAGTTGTGAAAAGGTCCTGTCTGTTTAAGAGGTCCGAGCTATCAACTAGATGTGACCATGGCAAACGCTACGTGGCGCTTTGCTCAACGTGCAATGAACTGGTTCTCGCCATGAACCGACATTCACAAAATATGGGGAACCACCCCAAAGTGGTTGGACAATCCCCACCTACATGACCTAAATGGTGTCCACCAGAGTGTCCTCCAGTTGAATTCACAAACATGGCACTGGGGCAACTGGATGAGCAAATCGGTTCTTTTCTCGCTCGCACTTCACAGGGCTGCCAAAGGCCGAGCCTGGCAAACCGGCTGAGCCCGGCGCTCGCTTGCGGAACCAGTTGTGGCTAAAAAATACAGAGACGTAAGCAAAAAACACATCGCAAGAAAGGATGGACATCTCTGAAAGTTGCCATCTGTTGTGAAGTTCTGAGGAAACCGAAAGAAAGCCGCTCCCCGGTTTGAGGCATCCCCCAAGTACCTCAGCTTTTGTACCAACCCCAACGGGAATGTGTGCGAGGTCGGTCCATACTTGGCGAACCTGAACTGGCTGGTGCATGGAAACCTCCGGTTTGCGAATTCCTGCTCCCCCCCCCCAAAAAAAAAGGCAGTTTAAATGTAGAATGATTCAAAACAACCCTAATTCAGGACACAAAAACACAAACGCATGGGCGTGATCCGATTTTTGGGATGCTCACAAGTGGCGCCAAATGGACGCGATGGTGAACGGGCCTCATGTGTGGAAACACCCATAGCCAAGCATAAAAACAGAACAGGGGACGGTGGCAGTGCACGTCTTCGTGCTTTTGGACCATGTGTTGTTCCAATGCATTCCCGTGTTTCCAAAAATGAAAGACCGCAAGCAAACAAAACAACCAAAAGAACCCAAAAAACAATTCTCAACCAGTCTTGCCATTCATTGGTTCCAACCTGCCCAAAAGCCAACCACCTCGAGAAAACAAGCAATGAAACCCGTAACCACAAAAAAAGGAAACGAAACAATCCTCCAACACCAAATCTAGAAGTGGCATTTTTGAAAAAATGCGTGTCTTTTTCGCTGTTGTTTCCTCCAGATATTGGTTTGTTTTGGCTTTCGACAGGGCTGATCCTGCGAATTTTGTGCTTTTTACTGAAAGGACATCCTACCAAACATTCCAGCTAACAATGAAGTTTCGAGTTGAATGGATTCCTTCCTTAATTCCACTTAATATCGTACCAAACTGTACTCAATGTCTAACTGAATCAAAACAGAATTTAATAAGGGCATAATCCAATCAGCTGTATATATTTTAAGCAACAATGATTATTTGCGAATTAAGTTTCACGTATGATGTCCTTTCCAATATACCTTTATTTACACATCAAGTAACCTTTAAGCACAAGTTAGTCGATGGTGGGCCCTCTGCTTCTTTTTTGCTCATGACGTTCTACTTCATATGTTTATCAAATGAACTATGGTTAACTGAACTTAACTAGAACTAAACAAGACAATAATGAAAACAACATGTCAATGCACTTTAGACATTAAATAATGCGTATTCTATGTCAGCTTTAAAACATGCACATTTTTTCCCAATATGAACGCCTTTACGCATCAATTAACATTTTAACACTATGTATTCAACAGGAGCTCAACATAAGCAAAGCGAGTGCAAACAGCAAATGCAGACTTGCATTCACAAGCAAATCAACATATAACCAACAAGTGCACTGCCAGAGTCCCCTGCTCTCAAAAAAGGGCCCCCACCCTTCGCAGGGTACCTGATTGGCCCCAAAGTTGCTCAACCCGAGCTAAACCTCGAAGAAAAAGAAAAGACAAAAGAAAACGCGCCTCCAGCCTTTCCAGGGGGAACCCCGCCCAGCGCTTGTCGAAACTCTCGAGCCAGCACCTTTGGGCTCCGAGGCAAACATGGGGGGGGGGGCTCCCTTTTGGTTGGTTCTTTCAAGCCCAATTTCCTAGAAACTGTGTCCATTTGTCTGTTTGTTCCCCCGTAGTATGGTAATCAAGGGCAGATTGGATTCCCCAACTCCCACAAGGGGGGTTACATTTTGACTGGGCTCACTACTTTGCACTCCGCAAAATTACACAGACAGCCCAACAGCGACTCCTGTTGAAATGACGCCGGTTTTGGACCCCACATATGCAGCCGGAAGAGCAAAAAGAGCGCTTCTATTCTATTTCGTGTATTTCCGCCAGAGTCGAGACCTTGCCGCAACTTAGTTAAGTGAAAGCAACTACATGCGGGTTGCTTTGAGTGCAAACCATGCAATCCGTCAAACTTTCCTACGCAACACGTGACATTGCGGCTGAATGTGGCTCAACCCTTGTTGCTCAGACGTCCAAGCACAAAAACGTGCGCACATGCACAGCTTCTGCCAGTATATCAAACATGTCACTGCGGCACAAGACATGCAAAGACAGCCTTGGGTGCTTGAGTGTCCCAAATCAGGGTGCGCCACCCTTAATGTTTTCGATCCTTTTGATTCACACAGAAGGGCCGCCTGACCACACATCCTGCTCTGGATCACCCAACGGTTGCTGCGTCCTTGGCCTCCCTGCACGCACTCGTCCTGAGTTGCAATCCCAATCCGATAGGTGTATCATGCGCCCCTTCGTGAGGGTCTTCTTGGAACAAGCAAGAACACACACACACACAAAATCCTGGTTCATGCCTCGAAAGCACATGAGCAGCTTCATAACGATTTCACCTGACTCATCATCGCGGATTGGCGCCACGTAACCGAATTCCCACATTTGGCATTCTGCAAAGGGTCCGGCAAGAGTGCATCTACCTCGTCGCCCTTCTCAACGTGGTTTCGAAAGGAATTCCGATATATGCTGTGCGCCTTTTTGCAGGGGAACCTTTTTGGGACTGTTTTCAAGCTCAACCAAAAGAACACCACCCGTGTGAGGAGTTTGCTGTTTGAGGCAATCCCAATATGAAACTAACCATCTCCAAAGCTAGAACTGATTTTAACACATTCCTGCTTGATCCATTCTACCTGATCCTCCCTTTCTGAACGCTTCATGTCTGTTTATCCACTCCTGGGTGTCCGAAGTGTCGGATAACCCCAAACTGATCATCGTTTCGGCAAAAGGGGCCACGAATATCATGGAACTGCAAGGTCCCAGAACGGTGGCTCGAAGACCAGGGCGTACACTGTTTCTTCTGATGTCGACCTTTTGGTTTGACCATCCCCAAGCCCATTCTAACCCAGAGGGTCCAAGTATCTGTTGAGGAAGGTTTTTTCAGAGTAGAAAGGGGTCAAAGTACCTCCTTAGAAGGTACTTGGACCCCAGATCTGGGAAATTATACGTATTATATATATATATATATACATAGGGGCAAACCCCAGATTTCTCCGAGAGACCGCATCACGCCCAGGTGCTCTCGGCTCCAGCAATCACCACAGCTTAAGCTGTGCCGGGGGGGGGGGGGGGTGGGGTGGGGCAATATGATAACGTTCATTGACAGGAACTTCCTGGCCCGTACTCCCTTTGTTTGGGTGGGGTGGGGTGGGGTGGGGCAATATAAAAACGTTCATTGACAGGAACTTCCTGCCCCGGAATCCCTGAATGTCAACAAACGACTCGCCAAGTCCCCGTATGCGTTTCGACCCGTTATTTACAGTGTTTTGAGCGCATGACATACCAACAGACCTCATGCCACTTCATGGAACGCGTGCGGACTTACACCGCGGAAGTCCGTGTGAATCAGCATGAACACAAGTGACCGGGATCTGCTGCAATGTTCAACACTCATTCAAAGTGTGCTGGCTGCATTGAAAATGCACCGCCAGAAATGCATGGGACTGGTTGCCCCACGAAGGCTTAAAATCAGCCGCTGTGGAAAGTGTAGAAACTGTTGATGTGTGATTTTGACGCGGAAACATGGCACATCTGCACTTTTTTGCTGCTCATGATCTGGTCAGACATTTCTTCAATCTTGCAATTACAGTGGGATTTGAATGAGTGTTGAACATTGGAGAAGATTTCGGTCACTTGAATTCATGTTGATTCACACGGACTTCCGTGGTGTTAGTCCGCGCGCGTTCCATGTCGTGGCATGAGGTCTGTTGGTATGTCATGAGCTTAAAACACTGTAAATAATGGGTCAAAACACATGCGGGGACTTGTTTGCTTGTTTCTTGATGTTGACTCTCCGGAGAACCCCGGGGTTTGGGCCTACAGATAGTATACATATATATATATATATGTTAACATATGTATATGCCACACCAGACACGAAATCCTCCGCCCGCCCGACACCGGGTTCGGCCTCGCCACCGCGACCTTCAAGCAGGTCTCTCAGTCCCTGGCGTGCGCCTTTTTCCCAAGATGCAGAAGGCGGGTTTGGGAACCTAAGGGTTCCAGAAGAGGTGTGGAACTCAAATTGTTGTCCAAATTGTGGAGACTTCCAAAAGTTGGAATCACTCATGCCCAACTTTGCAGAAATTCATTGACCGGCGTTTAACGGTCCAAGGCTGACTTTTTCACAATGGTGAGCTCCCACGACGTTTCGGCTCTCGAATTTGGAATGAGTCTTCCGGAATCAAGGAGCGCCTGCCAAAACGCGGGTTTTGGCCGGCTTGGCCCCTGCGGACACGTGCCTTGGGACTCCTGACACATGAAGGGAACCTAATTACCAAAAGGGTGGCTTTTCCTTTGGTTTCCCTTTGAAACACACGCAAAGAGGGTAGCCTGGAAAAGACACCAAAATAGGAACGACTGTGACCTCTGCCAGACGGAGGGCCCCTGCTTCCTACCAGACGCAACTGGCACGAGCTGATCTCGGAATCAGCTCCCAGTTCTGATGGATGGTGTCCGCGTCTGAACTCAAACTGTCCCCAAATGCGACTCCAAGTATAATCATGACAAACTATTCGTAACTATTCGTACTCAACAGGAAAGCAAAGATTGGAGCTTCTGCAATTGGACCGCCTTTCGGTTGGTGTGCAAAGGGAAGCCAAAAGGAAACCGGCCTTCTTGCGAGATCCCTATTTGGAGAAACCGCCAGGCATCATCCTATGTTCAAATGCTGACCAACGCATGTGCAGGCATAGATAGACCTCGCAACGATAGCAATCCCCTAAACTGGCCGATGACCACAATATCCTGTCAACCCCAAACAAGATTGCAAACCCAGCATGCATAGCCTCAAACAACGTTGTCCAACCCAAACAAGCAATTGGGGCTAAGGAGACCCAACATGGTGCTTCTTCTCCCGCTAAACGCCAACAAAAAGGGAGGTCGAAAACCACACACCCAAATGCTCAAGCATGCCAAGGAGTGCCGCCAGTTGGAACACTGACACCCCACTGTACCGGAGCGGCAGAACCTGAAATGGGCTTGAGGCCTCCGTTGACCGTCCGCTTTTTGTTTCTGTTTTGTTTTGCTGTTTCGGGAAGCCAAACTGGAAACCTCTCGACACACACGACTTCTTTTGGCCAGGTGCATATCAGAAAGCTGCGGAAGAGTGAGAAAACACATTTGAAGCCTTTTGGCTGCAAACAACAACGCAAACTTGTCAAGCGCAAAAGGCATGCATTCGATCCACTCAGCGTAGATTTGGAACATGGATCTGATGCTGTCGGTGCATGGCCAGCGCCCCGGATCTCGGACTCACTGTTTCAGGGCCCCCCAAAGTCCAAGATGTTTGTTGGTATTCTCGAAATCTAGTCGTTCCCCCAGAAACTTACTCTCAGCAAAAGACATGACAGAACTTCCAAGACGTGATGATGGTCTCGGGCATGAAGGAGCTCTTCCTTTTGCCAGCCTCAGTGTTCCTTGGACACATGGCCCGACTTGATGCAACCACTTTTCTGGGCTCGCCTTATCAAAATCCGTTCTCCTGCATTTGCCGGAAGTTACCCTCCCACCAACAAACACGGAACCCGCCGTTTTGAGGAAAACGGTCTTCCCCGATACCCCCCAGCTAGGAGTGGGTGAGAAGATATTGAATACTTGTCCTGCCTGCTTACTTGACTTGTTTGAGGTAATTTGTCATAGAACCATGCCAACCAAACTGTCCGAAAAGGACTCCTATTTTCATAAAGCTTCGCTTTCAGAAAGACGAGATTTCCAGATTCTGGACTGGGCAACCCGGGCACCCTGCCGCTGTTCCTGCCAGGACTTGACAAAGATTGGTATTGGGCCAATCCGCTGAATTCATTTGGGTTTGTCATTTCTAGGGGACCCCCAAAATGGTGCTCTTCTGGTTTCCCTTGCAACCAACCCCAAAAAGGGTACCCTCAAAAAAAGACAACCCCATTTCCGCTGCCACACCACTCTTCTTTCAACAGCCTGTCCAAAACGTCCTTTTTCTGACGTGGATGAGCAATGATGAGCATCCCTGCCAGCCAAGCAAAGGGGTGCTTTGACCATTTCATAATATTGGCCTGTCTTTTAGGTGACCCCCAAAAATGTGGTTTTGATGTACCTGTGAAGCAGGCCAAAAAAGGGTAGCCTCAAGAAAGACTGAGCCTTTTGACAGCGATGCGGTAAGCAGAAAGCCCCTGGCCTTTCGGAGACCAAGGCCCAGCAAGGCGTAGGTCCTGCGAACAAGGCTTCAGCCCGAGCTGAAAAATGATGAACATGTGGCCGGGGCCATGGTTTGAAGTGATTTGTGTTGAGCTGGCTGATGGGGAAAAATTGTTTAAAGTGATTTTTGTTGAGCTGGCTGGAGAAAAACGGAGAGGTTCACTCCATAATGTCCCGTACCAACATACAAAAAGTATGAGGAGGGCCCGTTATGGCGGTTAATTGCGCTCCGTCCCTTGCACATTGCATGGAACCCTCCCCCCCCTGTCTGCTCACACCCCGAAGGAAATGAATCAGCCGCCCGTCGCTCGGGGACATGTCGTTCATCACACACAGGGGGCACCCCCCTCCACAATGCATGGCTCATGGCAAACCACTCCTTACTTTTAAGGCATCTGATGGGCTCCTCCTGAATTGTCTGCCTGCTGCTTGCCTACAAATCCCGTTTTCGCCATGAGGCTTGGGCCATCCACTCGGCATGATCAAACTGACGAGAAGTTATCTTGAGAGTAGGGACAAGTTTGAGCTTGTTTACCAAAATGATTGACTGAACAAGGCTAAGTCCAAACGCTGGAGAACTCAGCTGCATTGCTTGAAGTGTCACCTTGCCCCCGACATGCACTACAGGCGGGCTAGCAAGTAGGCTTAGCCGCGGGGTGTTCAGGTCACTTGAATGAAGTCGCATGGTTGGTACCAGTAGCATGACATGTGTACCTCTAATACAATGGGGATCTGTCTAAAAGGGCCTGTGTTGTACCAGCAGGTTGGGTAGGGTTCCATGCTGCGCATGTTCCCCGCCAAAACACTCGCCCGCGCCGCCAGTCCTGGCATCCAGAAAGAGGCTGGCTTGGTCAACGCCTGCAACCAAAACATGTTTGAATCATCACTGAATGTCTGCTCGTCATTGGGTTTCTTCCCTAAGTTGCCGTTGTTATTGACGTTGACCTTGTCGTTGTGCTTGTGCTTGTGCTTGCGGAGGGTTCTATGGCCTGCTGTGGCTGTCAATGTGGCTTTGGCAGCTGCTGCTCTCGCTGCTAGTCTGCTGGTGCTGGTGCTACCGTTACTCCTGTGGTTGTTTGCTGCCGCTGCTGTGGTTGGTTGGTTGGTTGGTTGGTTGGTTGGTTGGTTGGTTGGTTGGTTGGTGGGTGGGTGGGTGGGTGGGTGGGTGGGTGGGTGGGTGGGTGGGTGGGTGGGTGGGTGGGTGGGTGGGTGGGTGGGTGGGTGGGTGGGTGGGTCGGTCGGTCGGTCGGTGGGTGAGTGGGTGGGTGGGTTGGTTGGCTGGGTGGGCAGGCGGGCGGGCGGGCGGGCGGGCGGGCCGGTTGCGAAGAGGCTCAGCGCACATGGGAGACAAAACAGCGCCTTTTGCGGTAGTTCACTTTATGTAAAGGGACCCCCAACACAAGAAACAAGGAAAACGGGAAGCCACCCAGTGTCTGGGGGCTTGCAAACCCTTTTGCCCCGATGCCTGGCCACGGCACGGCGCACTCCAATCCTGGCGGAGCCTGGCTCACGATGACAGAGAGGCGCCGATGTTGAAAGCGTCTCCCTTGGTTTCCCTCTAAGCGTACCAGAAAGAAACTGACCGTGTTGAGGTCTTTTCTGTGTGGGAGACCGAAAGACGGCTGTATGCCGAACGGTCGCTCTCAAACCCTAGACTGGTTGAGTTGATCAGACCCATCAGTCAGTGTTTACCCTGGATAATTCAAAGGGATCCCGCTTTGGTGGGGATTCCCCGTCTTCCGTTGGGCCATTGGGCATCCAGGAAACGTGTCGATCATGTGCGCAGCGACCAACAAATATACACTTTTAGCTCTACCAGACTCTTGGACAGTTTTGAATGCCGCTACTCCCTGCCGCATGGAGCCAGATTGCAAAGGGGGTGGTTGGGGGGGGGGTGACTCTAGATCTGTTTGCTTTTTTTGTTCGTTGTGTGCGTGTCAAAACAAGACTAGGAATCTGTTCGGAAAACCAGTTTGCAAGTTGCGCATTGCCGGGTCGGCGCTAGCTCCAACTAAGCAGCGCGCTCTTTCCGAGTGTGGCAGGTCAGGCGCGGGGAGCTGAGGAATCGATTAGGATAGTTTGTGGTGTTTGAATGACAATGGACTTCCGTTTTTTTGCCCAATTGATTCCAGCCGCCTGGCCCTTTTGTGAATTGGCGTTCTGCTAGAGCCAACCAGGTGTCTCTGCATATCCACGCGTTCTTGCGGTGACAAACTCCTCAAAGCCCACTGTGTCTTGAGGCGTGGGTGCAGCGGTGTTGCCTTATCTGGAAGCACCCGAGGTATGTCACTTTCGCTTGTGTTTCCGGAGGGCGATAGTCTGAGCTCTCAGCACAGCCCCATGCCTACTCGAGCCCTCGTCATCCCAAGGTGTTCCAAGGGTGGTGCGCCATTTCAGCACGGACCTGTAGCTCCAGTCTCCTGAGCCCCCTTGGTCGCACAGCTTCCATCCATCCTGTATTGCGCAAGCCACCAAATCTTCACTTGCCACATCTTCCTGAGCAGGAAGAAGTATCCCGATGGGTGGTTGTGCGTCCCTCGGGGAGGTGCCCTCATGAGAGTGCACGAGCCATACCAAAACAACAAAAGAAAAGGGGGCCTCTTTGAGGCGTGATCCCGATGGGGCCAATTTCTTCGCTGCCTCTTGAAAGATGCCCGGAAGCTTTCCCGTTAGTGTGTGTTTTTCAGGGCACCTGTTGAGCGACGGTTTATTCAGGAAACCAACAGAAAACCAACATTTTTTGGGGGGGGTCCCCGATCTTAAGACACACCCAGTTGGGTCTTTCGCAACAATAGTTGCAGGCCGCTTCACTTTTAGTTATATTTTAGATAACAACCCAAAGGGGTTCGACCATTTTGACAAACTCCCATGTGGGTGTGTCTCAAAGGGATCACCTAGCACGCCGATCGGTGTTCTGTGGAAACTATGGTCCGCACTCTGAGACAGAAATCACCAGGGGTGACCGATCACATGTATTTCTCTCCTTTTTGAGCAAAACACGTGGATTGGCTTCCATGGAAAGGTTGTTTCAGGAAACATTACCTGTAATTAAATGGTAGCCGATCTGAAAGTGGAATCCATTTCTACTGTCAACCACCAACAACAAGACCCGATTTGTCTGCCGGAGACCTTCTTGGGATGGGCAAAAGGGAAGCCCCAAAAGAAACGCACTTCATATTATCAGGACGGGAGCCCTGAAAAACTTTCCACCCACCATTCAATGCCGTTCAAGCACACTGTTTCGAAACTTCCACATGAAGATCCCAGCTTGCTGTCCCCACTCCCTCTTTGCCTGCAACACGCCCTGTGTCGCCTGTTTCCGCGGTTTTTCCCCGCGACTTGTGGCTGTTTTACGGCTGGGTACGGCGCGCCTGTGGCTGGTGCCTTGCCCCGAGGCATCTCTGCAGCACCCCGCAGGCCGCTTGGCGGCCTGGCCGCCATTGCTGCCGATGCTTGGCCCCAGACCCCAGCCCCAGTGGCCAGGGAGAGACCCCTGGGAAAAATAAAAATATGTCCAGTAGTGATAGATTCCCTTTGAAACCAACAGGGGAAAATACCAATACGCTTAAGGAAGAAAAGGGCGCCTTTGATGGTACAGTGCGGCCGCTGCAGAAGAATGCGCTGGCGGACACCTCCCCCCAAACAACGCTTTCCAGCTGAGAATGTCAGCGCCGCTCACATTCAAAGCGATGTGTTTTTCTTTTTCAACAGCCGCCGCAGCTTTTCGAACCCCTCACTCATTCAGCGGCAAGCATTTTGCCAGCAAAAGCTTTACTTGCCCGGGAATCTTGGCCATGCCATCCTTGTCGACCTGTTCACAGAGCCAAAGCTAAGAGAACGATCTTGAGCGCTTGCCAGACCCTTAAAAAGGTCAGTCACCGGATGTTTAATTACGCAAGGAGGCCGTTGCCCACAACGGCCAACCAAAAAATCTGTCTCTCAGTTTAGCACAGTCTTATCCAGCGATTTGGCTGTAGTTTCTGGGAAACGAATTCCAGGGCCTCACGTCGAGGATTCACAAGCCCCTCGGAAAGAAACATGGGCGCCACCAGACCCTCCAATGAATTTTCTCGTACTCGCAAAGCAAACATCCAATAGGGAAGCAACCGAGCCTTTACAAATGCGGGAAGAATATTCACCAACCAGAAGAGAGGAACCGTTAAAAAGGTACCTTCATGGGTGTGCTCTTCCCCCCCCTCTCTAAGGAATCATAATATGTTTATGACAGCAGGACCGTGTTTGCAACCAATATCAGGCTAAGTGTGTCGAACAAGATTTGGTCTTGGTCTAAATAAACCACATGGCTGTGTCTTCTAATTTCACTCGCCAGAGTGGAGTTATTTTCGATCACGGCCTGCTGTGTCTTTGGACGGGAGACTTACTTACTGTTCGCGCGAACGTGAGTTTCCTGGGTTTGCTTTCCCCCCAGATGGCCGTGCAAGCTACAGCCAGTGCACCTTTTCCGGGGGGGGGGGGCAGTGGCAATCTTATTTTCAGTACCTGACGTTCCCTTGCCAAGACATGGCAACAAATATGAAATTATTGGGTTTCATCCCAAATCAACTGCTCGGCCTACATGGCATCAGTCGCTGAGCCTGGTAAATCCACCACGAGCACGTCCGCTCCCTCCTGCAAGTCGTCAGCACCTGGCTGACCCCACAACAGACAATAACCGTTGTCAGGATTCAAGAGCGTACAACAGAACCGTTAAAACGAAGCACGACAGCACATACAGTACCGGCCTCTCTTTGGCCAATCCAATTCTTGACAGTCCAAGCCTCTAGCTTTGGGTCAAGCAAGCTGAGACCTCTAACACATGGCCCTACATGCCAAACAAAGGATCCATGTCGCCAGTTTGCCTCAAGCAAATCGTTGCTCTAGATTGATTGGCCCAGCCGCCCAACCCGAACAGAGTTCTTGGCAGTCAACAAAATCATGGGCTCGTCAGGGCGACACAGCAAGACAGTCGCCATGGTGCTGTCCACAGTCACAAGGCCACTCTTGAGGTGTATACCAACCTTTCCCTGTCTCTTCGCGCTTATGTGCTTGCTTGCGTGTTTGCTTGCGTGCGTGCTTGCGTGCGTGCTTGCTCGCTTGCTTTCTTGTTTGCGCTTTTGTTTACTTGCTTGCGTGTTGCTTGTTGCTTGCTGGTTGCTTGCTTGTTGCTTGCTTGCTCGATTGCTGTTTTTTTTGCTTGCTTGCTTGCTTCTGATTTCTTGCTTGTTTGTTGTTGTTTGCTTCTTCACACACCAAAAGACCCGTTGTGAATACCGTGTGTTGCCAAATGGCCAGTGACATACTCCACCCTGCCCCATGCTGCCTCCCCACCTCACAGCTTCAGCCTGGCGGGAAAACGGAAAACACCTTGAATGGGTGTGGGTCAAACATGGGTACCCAAAATGGAACCCTGGTAAATGGAAACATAAACTAAAACCAGCGGTTTGGGGTGGTTTAACTTTGACTCATACCCAAATCCGTACTCTCCCCGAAACACTAACATGCACCCCCAAACAAAGGGGTCTCCTGTTGGGCAGTCCTGAGTCCCATGTTTGCTTTGAAGGTTGCAGTTCACAAGCTGGGATTCCACGTCAAAGCAACTTGGCTTTGTGCGAAGCGGCCGCTGCTCAACGAACGGGAACTGGGTGCATGTCTCGACACGTCGGGCCCTGCTGGCACGCTTTCAGCTGGAAAACAAGAGCCACGCAACATCTCGCTACATTAGACAGTGGCGAAGCCAAACGGAACTCCGAACACCATATATAGCTGTGACATTTAATAGGGAAACCCCTCAAACATGGCTTGTGATCAAAAACAACACATGTACATGACATCCACCAATGGGGTCCCGCATTACCATTCGCTTGAGACCTGCAACCTGCCTTGTGCCCGCATTGTAATACACTTCTTGGTGTAGCCCCCTCGAAATCGGGCCTTTATCTTCAAGTCAGGCAACACACAGAGGAATTTGACGGACCTCCACGGAACCACCACTTGTCTGATTCCCATCCAGCCGTAACTTTCCCACTTCAAAGGGGGTTCCCTTCGTATCACAGGTATTGGTGCCTTTTTCGAGGGCAAGCTCCTTTTTGGTTTCCAAGGGAAACAAACACCCCCCCCCCTGTAGAGGCTGTGCAAAAATGCTCTCTTAAAATACGAATCGGTCCCGTAGAACATGGCAACTGCTTTCGGTTTTCCCTTTCAATACAGGGGCTCCAAACTCCCACTTGGAGACAAACCATCTTAGTAAGAGGAAAACAGCAACCCCCCCCCCCCCCCCAGTTTTGCGGGGTACCAGTCCCCGCGTGCGAGCGGGCCTGAAAGCCCTGCAGCTCGGCGAGTACCAGCCCCACCTAAGCACCCATGTGACAGGCGAACCAAACAAATCGAAAGGCGCGAGGAAAGGCGCGTATGGTATGGGTGCGTCTTCTTTGCCAGGGCATCCTTGTTGGCCTGCTTTAAAGGGAAACCAAAAGGAACACCACTTTTTTGGCCGTTTTTTTTTTGGGGGGGGAAAGGCCTTCCCCATCCATGATTCATTCTTCACTAGTAGCTCAGGAAGGCAGCAAACTCCATCTTTCATCTCACACCTACAAACTTTGATTCTTCCAATGCATAAGGCGCATGTCCCGAATTTCCTGTTGGATGCCCATAGGCCCATAGGTTCCGAACATTTCTTAAACCAGACTTGTGCTGAACATGGGAGACTTGCACGGCAATCGCCTGGCAAACCGCTGGGTTTTGAAACTCTTGATTCACAGACGCCAGTGAAGGTGGGCGTTGTGGGCAGTTTCCGCTGCCTCGGATGGTAAGCCGGATGGTCGCACAAAAGACATGGGCGCCTAAGTAAGCTCATTAACTTTGAAGATCAGGATACGAGCCGCGCTCACTGCGTTCCTGCTCAATCTTGTCACTCTATGGCTCGAAGTGATCCCTGTCCGCATTGCAAGTAGCATCCTGGGAACCGGTGCACAATGGGAGTTGAACCTGGGACACTTGGTGCCAAACCTGGGGCTTGGCCAAGTCGAGCCGCGGCAATTCCCTTGTCTCAAAACAGGGAAGCCCGCTTTGATAGTCAGCTTCAACGGAAGCCAAAAGGAAGTCATGGAAAGGTCCCCGGCTTTCCAGCAAAGAACTTGATCAAGGCTCCAGCAAGACACACATGGAAGGACCCGAATCGCGTCTAGCGGAAGACATGTTTGGCTTTGTGTGTCTGATCTCTCACAATAAATCCGGGATGGGTTCAAAAAAGGTACAAATTTGCAGTCGTCCGTGAAAATACCTTAGAGACCCTGTTGGCAAGAGTCGGGTGGCTAGCACCCATTGAAAAGGACAAATAAGATCATCAGTCGGTAAATCCAAGTTGGCCAAGTTCGCCAATTCAACAAGTCCTTTTCTACCCCACTTTACACCTCCCTTATGTTTACCGTGGTGTCCTTTAAGGGAATCCCTGGGTTCATTCCCCATCGCAGCAGCAAGAGAAAGCCTTGGCCAGAACTGTGATAAATATTTACCCCTTGTAATTTCAAGACCTCCGGGAATTGACGTTAGAGCAGCATCTCACGATGATCACAATTCATGTTTCTTTTTGAAGACATGCCAGAAAGTGAGACTTGAAGCCCCTTCTTCACTTCACATGTGACATTTTCGCGTGCGAAGCTGGAACAGCAAACGAGTTTCTCAGACCCCCGGCGCTGCTCAGCTCCCGCAGGCAACGTACGGCGCCGGAGCCGGCGGCGCCGGCGGAAGCGCCGGAGCAGGGCAGCCACTGGTTGAAAGGCCTCTGCGAAACAGGGGGTCAGGAAGGAGACATCTCTCCTGGTGCTTCCTTTTAGGGGAAGTTAAGAGTTGTTGGCCATGCGCTGTTGGCTTCCTCCTGGGGAAAATCGCAATAGTCAGAATGCGAGGACCTTGAAGAGTCTGCGGCTGAAGAGCTTGGGCTTGGTCTGGGTTTTTTTCTTTGAACTAGAAGCCGAGAGAACGTCTTATCCTAAGGTCCTAAAGTCTGGGCCTGCTGTGCAAGTGCAAGGGTTCAGGCGTGGACCAACATGAGGCACAACTGTATCGGTCCAAATCCCAGTGGCAAGGGCTGGCCGGGATGGGTGCGAGTGAAATGGGATCTTTGTTCCTCTGCCCCTCGCATGTGGCTTTGTCGCTGTGGGCCCGGGCAGAGCCGCGCCGCCGAAAAGCAGAAGACGGGGCGAGAACGCCACGCAGCACACGGGGCCCTGGGTGGAAAAGTCTCAATCACACGCAATCCTAAATGTATGAGCTTCGGTCATATATATATATATATATTCATTTTCCATTTATTTTTGTATTTATCTATTTACCATAAAGGAGGCACGAATCCTTCAACAACGCAGGTTTTTGTCGCATTGTTTCAAAGAGGTAAGACATTATTTGGTTGTCCACACGTAGCTATATATATACCATGGATAGTAGGTTTGTTTCCGAACAGGCAAATAAATGTTCTGTGGTGTCCCTTTAAAAGCAGGCCCAACAAGAAGCGGTTGAGGTGTTTTGTTTCTTACTAGCCCCGGCTTTTTACTAGTTGTTTGGGGTTCATTTAGGCTCGGCAAATGGCTGATATGCAGGATATGCAGGATGCGGTTGGGAGGGTTTAAGGTTGACTTTGGGTCGGTTTTGGCTTAGTTGGGGCTGATCTGTGCTAGGTGTGCCTTTCGGGTTGCTTCAGGGATGTGGTTATGCAAGTTTTGGGCTAGGATTGGTGGTTTGGGGGCAACGCCCCACAACCAATCCCAAACCAGCCGCACGCCTAGCACAGATCAGCCCCAACCAAGCCAAAACCGACCCAAAGTCAACCTTAAACCCTCCCAACCGCATCCTGCATATCCTGCACATCAGCCATTTGCCGAGCCTAAATGAACCCCAAGACCCGCCCTCGTTCAGACCTCAGCAAGCCCAACACTCACCCCAAAGCAGCCCCGAGCAAAGCCAATAGGCAGCTCTCGTCCGAGTGAGGACAGTAATGCTGGCAATGCGGCCAAGTCATGCCCAATACGCAGCCCGGACAAGAAACCGGAAATGCTGGCGATGCCGGGGATGCGGTCGCCCAGCCGACCAACAGACCGACCGACCAACCAACCAACCAACCAACCAGCCTCCTAGCCGGGGTTACCTCCCGAGCCGGGGCTAGTAAAAAAAAACACCGGTTCCAACAAGAAGCATACCATCAAAAAGGATACACGTAAATAATAACTTACCAGCCGAACAGAATGGCTCCCTATACAGGGAACCTTCATCGTGAGGTTGACAAAATTTGCTTAGAACAGAAACAATCGGCTGATGTAAATCAGTATCGCATATTTTTGGAAATGGCGGAAACAATCAGCTAGAGCCTTACGTGAACCATCTTCTAGGTTACGTGACAGTCAGCGAGCATGTGAAGCTGACGCGTCTGCGTTTTGGCATTTCCCCTCAAGAGTTGCTTGCGCGGGCTCCTTTTCCCATGCAGCTGCCGGAACTGTTCAAGATGACGTGGATGACTCGGAGGAGGAAGATGACGAAGAACAACCCTCACGAGTTTCAGCGGCTTGGCGTTGTTGTTGTTACTGCAGGTCAAGAATCGGCGTATGCGCCGGCGGTATCCATGGCGAGGGCTAGCGAGCCTTACGCGCCTGCTTACGGGAGCTTGCGCTCCGGAGCCCCTTTAGTTTTCACTACATCCGCGGTTTCACAAGCCTTTGGTTGTCCTAGGGAAGGTTTCAACAACACCTGGCATGAGCCCCAAAAATTCCCCATCAATAATGTTCCGCTGATTTTGCTTTATAATAGTGCGGACATTCGGTCTTGGACGTGCCTTCCTGCACCGAAGTCTCCGAGCAAGTTGCCAAGCTCGACTAGGTTGAAACAGCACAAGCCACCAACAAACTCTTAAGCACATTTGTTGAACAAACTCTTCCGAGCATGCTTACAAAGCTTACCAAGCAATCACGAAGAGCTTTCTTACGCCGGCGCCGTGCAGGGTTCGTTTACGCGGGGCGGGCCTCGTTATGACACAACTCTTGCTTGGGATGTAAAGGGCAGCTTTTAGAGCACGCCGGGCAACTCAATTTGTTCTTGCTATCAGGGCGGTCCAACATGTTTTCGGTCCCACTTATGGACGAGAATGCCTGCAATGGCAGGGGGGAAAAAAACCTTTGCTCTCTTGACACAAGGTTCGCTGTTTGGAGTGTGAAAGGGAACCAACAGCACCCATATGTCGCTCGGATTGTATGTGCACTGCCTGGCCCTCGACTTGTCCATAGCCACTATGCACATCAAAAGAAACAAAGCAACCCTCCCAAATATGTGTCGTTTCCGCGTAGTTTGCTGTTTGGATTTGTTTCTATTATATATATATATATTATTATTACTATTATTATTATTGTCATTATTATTAGTGTTACCATGCTTTTCCTTCAAAAGATCACAAAGTGGCTGCATCATCACTATTAAGCTTCCCGCTTCAAAGTGATTCTGTTAAACAGACTCATTCTTGGCAGCACCAGTCCATCGGTCAGGATGAAAACAACAACTATAATATATATATATATATCATTCAATTCAGTGCTTCTGAGGTGCTCAGCCATACGAGAAGCAACTACTCAAGGAGCACGAAGGCCATATGTTCATGCTTGCGCCCGATCAAACAATCGATAAACATGTCAATGTAATGTTGTCTTCCGCGAAAACGACTACAGTAATAACATGTTGGCAACAAGTACATCAAACGACCAATACGCCACGCAATAAGCTTGCCGAACACGAGAAATACACGCACGTACGCACAAACCCACCCACACACACACACATACACACACACACACACACACACACACACACACACACACACACACACACACACACACACACACACACACAAGCACGCATGCATGCCCTCAGGCCCGATCGCCAGCCCACCCGCACGCACGCGCACACGCGCACACGCAGACGCACGCGCACACACACACACACACACACACCCACCCGCCCACCCACCCACCCACCCACCCACCCACGCACGCACGCACGCACGCACACAGACACACAAACACACAAGCATACAGACGCACAAACACGCAGACACACAAACACCCAACACACACACAAACACACAATGCAGAACACAACACGACACGACGCAATACAACACAACACAACAACAGCCGAACCCGCCCCCACCTTCACTCAACACAACACAGCTGAATGCAGCAAAATACGGCACAAAGCAACACAACACTGCACAGCACAGCCACGCACAGCAGACTGGTGTTTGAGTCCAAGCGCAGGCGCCCAAGCGCTTTAGGCGCGCCTGCTGCAGCTGCAGTGTGGCAATGCCGGGCACATCCAGCAGGCTCGGGACCCCTACCCAGTGCGGATGGCTGGACTTTGTGGGTCTTCTGGGCAACACCACCAGTCTTTCCTGCATGCAAAGCGTGACAACCACTTTCGGAGGCCTAGGTTTGACTGATGACTTAATCCCGGGAGGCACTCCTTTTTGGCTGGTTGGAGTTGAAGGGACAAAGTCTCTCCTGGGGTTCCAAATGCTAATGCCATACCCCGCACCGCAGGGAACGAACCCAAACACAATCTGTCCCAAGTAGCCATTCTTGGAACCAGTGGTGCGACACCCACGCAAGTTTTCACTAAGATGAAGCATATAGAGGCCTAGTTTCACTCGTTCCCAGCCATGCGAAAATTGCCCCCACTCGAAGCACAAGCAGCGCAGAACTCAAAATATAAGCAGCGCCAAAAACATAAATTCGAGCAAAGCGATCAGGCCCTCTCAAAAGCTGTCTGAGAGGCAGGCACACTTTGCCTCGTGGGTGGTGGGCCATCAAACTAGAGTTCAGCCAAACGAAAGAGGAAAACACCATGTCAATTTGAAAATGCCGTGACATAGGCTTCTTACCTCAAAAGCTCGGTCCGACGGAATGTGCCGGCGCTCGCATCGCGGAATCTCGCCTGGCCGGAGCGCCCCTGCCTGGCACGAGTGCCGGCTTGCGCCGGCGGCTTGTGGCTTGCGGCAAGCGTCGCAAGCGGCACCAGTTGCAAAGGTTCCAAGCTCGGGCTGCTGCTTGTTTCCCTCCAAAAAAGCTCAACTTCCTCATTCTACTTCTGGATTTTGAGGGAATTCAATGAGATGCATTGATTTGCGAATGATACTAAAGTGCAGCAGAGTTCCGAGCATGCCTATCCACACTCGCCTTAAGATTGTGGTGTGCAATTTCGCGCAACACCAAAAGCAATACTAGGTGTTCGATCACAGACACTATTCGCACAGTGCAATTGTTTGTAGAGCACACTGAGCTCCATTTGTTCATGAGACTGGTGTTGTTCACAGTTTAAGAAAGAAAGCAACTAAGCTGATGAGCTGATCCTGCCAAAGCAGGCCGCGGTAGGCTTACATGTGGGGAACCCGCACCAAAATCAAAATACGCAGCCGTACTTCCCTCGAAGGCACCAGGGGTGTAGATCCAAAGAAAGAAGCAAAGCAAACCAAAAGCACACCGAAGGTCGTGCTAAGCTGGAAGGGAATGACCCCGTCAACCCTCGATTCCTGGTTCCCCTGCCCCCAAGCAATGTTGAAGGAAGCCACCAGGAGACGGCAAAAAACATTTTTTGTCAGACGTGAATGGACACAAACTCCGGTTTGCGCAGTGGTCAAGCTTTCCTGATGAAGGATGTCAAGGTTCATCAGGGAATTCAATACCAAAGTTGAGCCAGCAGACTTCGGACACGTTACGTTTGCTGGCCATAGCTTGCAAGGTGTCTTCACGCTGCACAGGTCGGGCTATGAAGCCCTGTGAACGACGCCCGAGCAGCGGCCGTGGGAACCTCCCCCCACGCTTTTGCCGGTCCTGGAGACTCTGCGGCAGGCAGCTGCTGGCAAAGCTCCCCTGCACTGCCCGAAGCACGCCTTCGATGGTGTCATCATTCGCACCCAGCCGCCATTGGGCAGGGGGACAAATGTGGAGAAGTCAAACACGCGTCCATCACCTCAGAGTTTTGGGATCCAAAAATACCAATTGCTTCTTTGGCACTCGACTCAAAGTGACCTTGGCCCCTATACCCACATTTGATTGGTAAATTCGGTGTGTTACGTAGCACGGATGCTGTTTACTGTGGTATGCCATGCCTGCACGAATTGCAGTAGATCCTGAATCCACTGCAGGGAAATTGGACATATTGGTTTGCATAGCGGGCGCTGGCACAAAAGAAAACCAACACGAAGGCACGCACACAGACAAAAAACACCTGCCACCCACAAAGGTCCACCAGCTCCCAACAACACAAACAACAAAACTGACACCAGAAACACCCTTGGCGCTGGCACATCTAAGAACCCACACGCTTGACCGGGTTTTGCAACAATTCAGAGAGGACGAGTGAATTGTCGCCAACTGTTCGCATAGCAAAAGATGTCCAGAACACATACAAGAAGCATCTGGTTCAAACCACACCGCCGTTTAATATCACACCCAATATGGAGGCTTGGCCAATCCAATTTTCCATAAGGAACCCGCAAAACTCATACGTAACCCAAGGATTCCTTGGCCCACAAAAGCCGCCACCGGAAACTCACGGACCCGGTTTGTTTAGCAGGAACTCACGCACCCGAAATGCTTCGCGAAAAATGAGTCAAACTGCTGGTGTCTAAAGATCCTTTACCAGTTCCCTTCAAGAAGACACTGGTCTTGTTCGTTGCCCGACTATACCCTGGACAAGAAAACAAATTGCAGACAAATCTCAGTTTCGGGACAAAGTCACTCCCCCCCCCCCGTCCCCTTCCCCCCCCTCCCCCAGGTGTTAACGTGTCAAGACTGTTTGCGCCAGACATAGGTCTGTCAAGCAACAATCAGACGATCTCAACGACCGGGACCAGCCATTTTGCCAAAGCGGTCCCATGCCGTGGAAATACAAAATCCACTTCGCACCAGTTAACACCAATGAAACCCGATGAACGTGACAAACTTAGCAACTCAATCTGCGGCCTTCAGGATATCCCACACAGCAAACCCGCAAATCTCGGCTACCTGGTGGATCTTGCGGAAGCAACTATATTGCCCAAAAACATCCCCCCACCCCCCCTCCCCACCTCGGACAGGCACTGCAGGGCACAGCGCCCAGCGGGACCCCCCACCTCCCACCGCTTGCTCTTCTGCGCGCAGCGGAGGCGCCAGCAGCGCGCAGGGCTGGCCCGCCTACGGAAACTCGCTGTGTCTTGCTGAGTAAAACGCAAACGCATGTTTTTTTTTGTGAACACGCTCTGTTGCATAGTGTTGTCTTGTGTAAGCTCTTCTTTAATACATATATATTTATATAAATGGCCATCCGCAAAACCGATGAATAAAGGGATCTTGTTGGGTGAAACGCTTGCTATAGGGGCCAGGCCCTTGCACGGCAAACGAGCTACATCAAGGTTGCTTGACTGGGTGTGTTACCAGTAAGAGCCAGCGAAGCCGGTTGGCGGAAGTTGCAAAAATGAAATTACGTGTCTTTCTCTTTGTCTTGTCTTTCTCTTTTGTTCTTCCTCCTTCTCTTTCTGCTTCTCCCTCTTATTCTCCTTGTCTTTGTTTGGTGTTCTTCTCTTTCTCTTCCTCTTTATCTCTATATTTCCCACATTCACCTTTTTATCTCTTTCTTTTCTCCCTCTATCTAGCTAGCTATCTGTCTGCCCGTCTGGCTATCTAACCTGGGATCTCTCTATCTACCTACGTACCGATCTTTCTATCGAGATCTATCGTCTATCCATTTGTCGATTTGTTTATCTGTGTGTCTGTCCACCTATCTACCTTGAGGTCTATCTATTGATCTAGCTACCTTTCTATCTTACTATGTATCTATCTACGCATAGACATTTTATCCATCCATCCAGCTATCTATTCATCTTCCACCTAGCAATCCACTGCCGCGTCGCGTCTACCTGTAGTTTCTGGCATATTCACCTCTAGCTACCACATACCTATCCACACATCTATGTCTGTCTGTCCATTCATCCACTTATCGATCTATCTAGTCTTTGTACCCATTCACCTATCCAATCTATCTATCCATCTATCTGTCTATCCATCTGTCAATTTGACTAATATATCTATCTATCCATCTATCTGCCGCGCCTGCCACGAAATCTTGAATTACGTGACTTTGGGAAAGCGCCGCGCCTGCCTGTCTTAAAGCGCGAAATCTGCGTGCGCCAGTCGGCCACGCCCGTGGCAATTTGCGACGTGCCCGCGCCCGCATTGACGAAGTGCTGCGCCTGTCACGCAATCTGCGCCTGAGTCTGCAAACACGCTACGCCTGCCACGAAAACTGCGCCTTTTACGATATCTGGTCAACAATCCAACAACGCTCTGCGCCTGGTTCCTCAGGTTGCCAAGCTGTTGCGCCTGCTGTGCAAGCCCAGGCCCGAAAAGAAAAGCGCGTGTCCGTGCCAATGCACCCATTTCGAGACCGTTTCGAGACCGTCTGATACTGTTCCAAGAACATCGGTCGTTAGGCGGCACAACCGATGTAGCTTTCAGCCATCCGGAGACGCTAAAACTCGCAGAGGGTTGCTCGTTTTTGCGAGGTGTATTCCTCCGCCACACGCCCTCAACTTCACTTACCCATCCCCTTTTGGTTTTCCTTTGGATAAACGCAAGCAAAACATATGGGCCAATTGGATTTTCTGACAAACCGGGCTGCCCCAACGAACTCCGCCCGAGGGAAACGGCTACGCGTTCCTCCAGGGCAACGGCGCCCTCAGCGCCAGGCAGCGAGCGTGTGTCCAGCAGTAGGAGGCCCGAGGCCTCGCGTCGACCAAAAACGATGGCTGCACCTTAGCTTCTGCCCCCGAAAAAAAAATAATAAGAAAAAAAGAATACAGCAAAGTATGTATATATATATATAATGTAGTGTGTATACATATATATATATATACATATAATATCTATATATGTGATATTAACTGGCCGTTCCAAACATGGCTTTCGGATTCCCTTTGGTTGGAAAGCAACAAGGAAAACTAAGGAACACCGTGGCCATTTTAGGAAGTTTCAAACTAATTCCGGGCAAGTACCTGGTTGGTAACTGTGGTTGCGAGTCAACTAGGTGGGTTGTAACCAGGGTTTCCAGCCAGTTTGCGACTACTCTGCCGCACGAAGTGGGTCAAGGGCGAGACCATCCTGTACGGTAAACTATGATTGCCTATCGTAGTACCTGGAACATAGAAACCAGAACCATGTTTGCAGGACTCCTTCATCCCGCCTTTGGCTGAGCGGCCTTTGGTCAGAGCAAAACAAATCGTCCAAAACCTGGTCGTGGACACCTTGAGATCGCTCTTTTGTTTCGTAGGCAGTAGAATTACAAGCCCCCGGTTGATTGCTCATCCTTGCAAGCCAGCTTTCCAGCTCAATGAGGCGAAACTGGAAAAGTGAGCAAGTTGACAAAAGGCCATGTCATGATGGAAGTCTTCCACCCCACCCCTTAGATTCCATGATTGCTGTGTTGCAAAGAGCCAGAATAGCCAACAAGCAGCTACAGTTTGCACTCGTCCTCCATGCTACTCCCGGAAATGATAATTTCTCTGCTGTTTCTGTGCAGCACCGCAGTGACCATTGGCTCCTCCAGGTCTCATAGTGGCTATCAAGTCCTAGGGTTGCCAAAAGGCCCAAGAGAGCCCAAAACCACCTGTGGGGCTCGACAAAGAACGCATGTCTTTGATCTTCTCATGGAGCCCCTACGTTGACTTCAGGAAACCGTCAGATGGCGTGGTGCGGCGTGAATCGAATCTTTACAGACTGGGGCGCATCCAAGGATGACTCTGCTAGCCCATCCACGGACGTGAACAAAATCAGCCATTGCTATATATATATATATACATATACATTAAATGACTGTGTCTGTGTCATAAGTTATATCCAAACTGAGTTCTGTCAGTACACAAACCAACATGCAAGACGCATCAACTCACTCATACCCCAAGTCGTGGCCTCATCCACTGCCGCCACCATGGCCGTCGTCTCTGCGCCCAGGAAGATTGAGGCCTCGTCTGACGCGGCAAAAGGCCCAGAGCAACTGTGCCACTGGAGGTGTGTGGCATGGGTCGTGATGCGGCACGATCCAACTTAGCAGCACTCAGCCCTGCAAAGACCCCTTAGATGAAAGGGGGGGGTTCAAAGGGGGGGCTTCAAAGGGGGGGGGTTCAGCAAACCTGATTGGACAGGTCGTCTAGAGCTCTGGCTTTTGATTTGGGGTGATTCAGGCAAGTCGCTTGGGATGGATTTGGAGAGGCGTCTTAAGGTTGAGGGCTGATGCAAATCAGATGGGTCAGGATTGGGATGGGTCAAGGGTGGGTGTGGGATGAATGTCAAAGGCTTTTCGAGTAGCTCGGAAAAATGGGATGGTTGCAGGACGCCATGCCTTTCGGGCAGGTTTAGGATGGATTTAAGAGGTTAAAGCCGGGTTTCAGGATCTCTTGAAAAGGTTCTAGAATGAGGTTAGGGTTGATTTGGAGTGGGCTAGGCTTGATTTGTCGGTTCAGTGGTGCATTCAGGGTAGATGGAGAAAGGCTGAATTGTGTCATCTAGATTGGACAGCTGATTGCACCGAGGTTTCCCCCCTCAAAGCTGAAGCCGTAATTTGATAGCTGAGTTTAAAGGGAAACAGGTTCCCACCAAAAAAAAATGAAAAGAAACACTAGTACTCGATGTTGAAGGGAAACCACGGGACACTTGAACCTCCTCCCAAAAGGAGTTGGCACCACAGGTCGCTCCCCGTCGCCTTCAGCAGGCCGAAGGCGGAGCTCAGGACCCGCAGGCGCTGGCCTCGCCGGGCCTCCGGCTTCGGGGGCTCCGGCCACCCCGCCCTCTTCGCGGATGAGAAGTCCCCAAGCTGTCTGAACCAAAGGCGACACATGGTTGGGCTCCCAGGTGATGCGGTGATAATTGGCACCTTTTTGTGGGGCCAGGTGATGCCCCTACTCGGCCAACCTACCTCCAAATGCGACCAATTGGGGTCGTACGATGTCTGGGCCAGCGCCTTTACCCCGGATACAAGACGCCCATCTGGCCCCTCTGCGTGCGCCTGTCAGATTGCGGGGGGGGGGGCTCCTCCCTCGAAAAAGGCAAGCCCCGCAAAATGCTCAGACTTTTGGACCCCATCCGCAACGGGGAAAATCAAGGGGGCCAAATCCTCCGTAATCTGAAGATTCTGAGGGAAGGACCCGCTACTCTCCCACCCCATGTGCAATCTGACTAGGGAAGAGCCTGGAAGACAAGTCTCCTCTAACGCTAAAAGGCCCCACCGGTTGTTTGGTCGGCGACAGCGATGGTGCACCATGCAGGTCTCAACAATCAATCCATGTGGGTGTACAATAACTACGGGCTTCTATGCAATCACAACATGTGGGATGCTTCCCCATGCCAAGCAATAAACCCATCACGAGCAAACAACCACATGCGTGTCCAATGTATTTACATGCATGAGTGTCCTGGCGAAAACAAACCATGCGTCTGGCTCTCCTATCTTTCCATCGAATCAACCGCAGCCTCGCAGCGCATCTTGGGCCCCCAGCACTGGCAACCGGCTGCAGCACTTGGCCCTCCAGCGTCTCCGGCACCCGGCATCCTCGGGAGGTTGACTGACCCCTGCGGTACGCGGTCGAATTGTTCTCCTGAGTTTTTGGTTGCCACTCAAATGGTCCAAATTTGAAGAGAACAAGTCCATGAACTCAGGGAGCGAGGATGTGGGAAGCCCCAAATTTGAGAACGGGAACCGGCCGAGATCAGATGTGGGCACGTCCATCTATTATGGGCCAATGGGCGTGTCTTGTTCAGAAGCCCCCGCCCCAAACTGATGCTTCTCCTTTTGGCACAAAGAATGCTCAACAAAAGCCACACCTTGATTTTTCTTCAATAGTTGGCTTTAAAGCGAACCCGCCCAAAAACGGGTGTTTGCTGAAGCACACTGGGATGAACCTCCAATCGGTGCGTCGACCCACACTTCTTCAAGCCCATCAGCCCTGTCAAGCACGAAACAAAGATCGACCACCTCAAGGCAGGCCAGTAATGCCAAAGCGCTTGGTCACCAATCGTGCAAGTACTAGACCCCTGGCATGTTTGAAAAGATGGATGGCCTGTTTCAGCTAGCTGGCAAGGGTATGTACCAAGAATGGAATTCTTGATTTTGGCCACACACTACAGTCAGTAGTTCCTCCAGAGAGCTTGCAAGAAAGGCAATCATCTCTGAATGTTGTTTGCAGAACATGTCTTGACATTCACAACAACAACAACAACAACAACAACAACAACAACAACAACAACAACAACAACAACAACAACAACAACAACAACAACAACAACAACAACAACAACAACAACAACAACAACAACAACAACAACAACAACAACAACAACAACAACAACAACAACAACAACAACAACAACAACAACAACAACAACAACAACAACAACAACAACAACAACAACAACAACAACAACAACAACAACAACAACAACAACAACAACAACAACAACAACAACAACAACAACAACAACAACAACAACAACAACAACAACAACAACAACAACAACAACAACAACAACAACAACAACAACACGACAAACAACGACAAACAACAAACAAACAACAACAACAACAACAAACAACAACAACAACAACAACAACAACAACAACAACAACAACAACAACAACAACAACAACAACAACAACAACAACAACAACAACAACAACAACAACAACAACAACAACAACAACAACAACATAGAAAGGTCGCTTGGCAAGTTGCATGTGCCTATAAACATTGGCCCGAGTTTTCAAGCGGCCCGCAGCATCGCGGGCGAAGATGCTCAGATGGACATGTGCTTATCTCACGTGCCAAAGGGTCTGGAAATAACAGGCTGACCGTTGTGCGACATTGACTCAACTCAAACTGCGCCAACACGAGAACACGAGAAGAGCTACAAGCGGTCGGCATCGAACAACTGAAACTCCGTGTTGCCTTTCAGCAGCTCGCGCGGGCAACGGGCGTCTTTTGCCCATGGGGATTGTCTCGGGAAATCCAAAGGACCAATTTGGAGCCAAAGCCAAATGCAAACATGTCCCAAAAGGTGTTCCAAGGCGCGCAGCAGTGCGATCCCCAGGCTTCCTGACGTGAAAGCGCAAGGCGCCACGGGTTTTCTGGGCAAGTTCCCTTTGGCTTCCCTCCCCAGGTCCAAATACCGAGCTACTTTGACATCGTATCCTCAAAAACCAAAGTGCCAGTGGGAATTTCTGGCCTCGCCCGAAAAAGGCCCGTGTTTCCCAAGGGCCCAACATGCCCTTTTTGGCCAGTGGCCACCGCCAACATAACACCAGCTCAACACAGAGGGGCCCTGTTTGTGGCAGACTGTCCTTGAAACATGGCTCGCCTTGCACGTCTATGAGGCAAAACATATTGCCCCTGCATGCTTGTTCCAGGCCCTACCCAGTACCCGTAGCAAGGAAGGCTTTTACCCCAAACGTGTTTCGGAGAGGACGGCTTCGCATGGCCGGCCTTACACTTTGTCCAATCGTTACAAAATCGGAGGTTGAGTCTGCACGCAAAGGAGCCTACTTTCTACCTTGGCGGGGGGGGGGGGGGTTCCCTGCAAAATCGTTGAACAAGGTTCCCTATTTGTGGAAAGCTACAATCTGCATGGCTCCATGCAAAAATGAAGCTACATGGCATTTGTCGCATGGTGAATATTTTGGTGGGGCGATGCGGTCTGGAGCTTTCAGGGTCCCTCGGTACATGAGAACGCTTCAGAACAAGCACATCCTATCCGCACATGAACCCAACCCGAGAAAGAATGGCTGGGACTTCAGTCTTGCCGCAGCAGTTGCAACTGACAGTCTCCAGAAAACAGCCCTTTCAAGGCACCCAAAGCAATGCTGGTTGTTCTGCATGACAAGCTTACCAGGGCTGGCCCTGTGCAAGAAGCCACAACGACTTAACCACAGTGACACAGTGGCTACGGCGACACGGCCAATCGCAACTTGGGGCCTCAGCTCGGCATCTCTGCCTTGCGAAGAATTGATTGCTGTATGGAACCAGGTATCTCAAACTCTCAAACCACGTCAAATGTGCAGCAATATGTTCCGCGACCTTTCCCACGTGAACATGACGCCCGCCTATGCGCGGCGGCCCCCACTCCGATTCGCTGGGCGTCTTTGCGCCCAGAATGGCCTGGGCAAGCACTCACAGATGGCACTCAAGAGTGGCATGCGGCTGAAGGCGTGTTTGCGAAATGTGAGAAACACATGGAACAAAGGGCAACTGAGAAATTTAAGCACTGAAATAATCCTCAGAATGGTCTACTTTAGTGTTGGGGAATACTACTTTAGTATTTTGCAATACTACTTCTGAATTGGGAATAAGGATTCCAGAGCTCCAGAAGGATGCGGAAAGGAGCTTCGGCTCATGTTTCCATTTGATCTAGTAATGTGAGATGTTGATTTGAGTATGAATTTGGGTTAGTACTGTGAGACTTGACATTCCATGTAATCTGGTATTCTGGAGCTTCCTTTTGAATTTGATTTGAGCTTCCATTTCCTCGATTTAGTATTTATTGTCGCTTTGAGTTTCCATTTGAGTTAGCATTGCTGGAGCTCAAGAGTAGGTGCGGCCCAAATGGCCCAAAATAATACCATGGGGACCAATATTATTTATACGGGCTGGGTACTCATGTGGGGGTATCTCATGTCCTTGTCAAACCATCACTTGTTTGAAAGGGATTTAATAAATAATGTGCACTGTTGGAAAGCCACGGGAATTTTACGGGGGTTCTGGCTGATGTTTGTGTTGGCTTGGCGCTGATTCATGGCTGTGCTAGCACGAGTACTAGGGCACAGCTGGCAGCTTTCTTTGCTTTTGCATTCCAAAGCAAATGGAAAACAAATGAACAAGAAGCAGGGTATGGCAGCATGGACAAAAAGGCAGCAGCTGCATCACCAGGTGGAATTGAACTTTCGCTTTTGGGTGGGGCCTCCGGATTGCTTGCGTTTGTTGTGGGGTCCTGTCTAATAACATGTTTCTTGTGGAGAAAAAAGCTTATTTTCATGAGCTTCAGTCCTGCAACTTGTTTAGTATTGGGGGGGTCGTGTGAGACCAGACTAAAACCATTGCCAACTTAACCCTAAGTGAACATTCTCGCCAACTAACTCATTTCCCAAGATGGCGCACCAGGACCCGATGTTTGATTCACGCTTGCTTTGGCTCGAGGCATTCATAACTGTGTAAATGGAACCGACAAGGCGCTTACACTCAACACACGCGAACACCAAACAAATGCGAAAATCCCAAAACCCATTGACAGCTGGATCTGCCAAAACGATCATGAATGATGACAGGGTTTAACAGGCCCTGTCTCCATTCAACCAGGCACCAGGCATGGCCAATAGGAATGGGTTTTGAGCTCCTCACACGCCGAGCCGCCACCAATCATTTTGAAAAAATACATGGATTCCGGTCGAAAATCGTCAGAGCCCCATCTATTCCTAACCAAACCGAACCACTAAAAGCCTTCGATGCACCCAAGCCTCGTTGCGAAAACTCTCTAAAAACCAGAGACGACCCGCTTTTCCTTGAGCTTTCTCCTTTAAACCGAGAAACGCAAAGGGTACCCTTGAACAACTCTTAACCATCCCGACACCAACCAACCCACCCGTGACCAAAAGACCCACCCTGAACCGACCCAAAAACCAAGCAACACGCCTGCAACGCGTCCAGCGACTGCTGCATCTTTGGCAGCGGAACGCAGGCGCAAAGCGAGGCCTGAAGAAAAAACGGAGATGCGGTAGACTGGCCGGTGTTTTCTAGGGGTGGTCCTATTTTGCTACAAAAAAACACCTAAACGGGTTTTTCCTAAAAGGACTTTGTTGTCTGCGTTTTAGGGCTAATAATTACCCCTCCTGGCGTTGTCCTGAAAAAGAAACAAAAAGAAACCACCCCAAAATCGGGGTGCCCCTGCTTCGACACAAGCCCACATGGTTCTATCTAAAAAAATGCTGCCCTTTTGGATGGCTTGACCAGAACCCGCCTGGAGGGGTCCCCAATTTACGCCCATGTGTCATATGTCCTGGCACATACATGCAGACGGGATGACCTTGCACGTGTTGCTTTGGTCACTGGCAGCAAGAAACATATACACGTCTTAGGACACTGTCACACGCGCAAAAGGGAGAGGAGGAGCCACCATTGAACAAAAGATAAGATGGGTTTGGCTGGTTGCTAGGACTTTAGGGGTTTGGCATGCAGCGGCTAGCGAAGGATTGCCCTAGCTTTGAGGAAGCAAAACAGAGCTCTGATGGGCTTGGATTCTTCTGAGGGTACCCGCTTTAGATAGCTTGAAAGGGAAACCAAAAGAGCAACCCATCTTTGGGGTCCCCAAATTATGACACAGACCCTGGAAAGCCTGAGGCAATGGGAACCTGGGGCTCTGAAGACCCGGCCTCCACGGCTGGCTCGTTCCCGGGGAAGACGGCAAAAAACCTTGGCTCACACGGCGTGAAGGGCAAGCTACCGAACTAGTAAGAAACAAACAAACAAAAGAAGCAAACAAACAAACAAACAAACAAACAAACAAACAAACAAACAGCAAAGACACGGTGAGAAACTTCAGATCATCATGCATGTCTGTGGCATTTGGGCATCCATAGGTCCATAAGATTCCACGGCGCAGATCATGTTGTCCTTTCACACAACCTCATACACTGAAGTAGGAACTGCTCCTTGCAGCGAGTTTAGATATTTTATCTGCATCATGGAGGAAAACAAATCATGATCTCGCAACACCGGCGACCTGCCTGCCACCGAGCCAGCCAAGCAAACAACTAGCACGCCCCGAGACCGCTCACCCTTGACCAACGCAAACACAAGAGCCAGCGATTCCACAAACGGAAAGAAGCGGCCCAACATGGAATGCTGGAGGCCACTATGCCAATTAGACTTGTCTCGAGGAGCGACTATCTTGCACCGATCTACGATTATTCCCCAAGACGCGCGACTCCAGGGTTGTTTTTGGCAATAATTTTGCAACACTAACACCTGGACCAAAACCGCGCCAATAAAAACACACCAGCTGGTCAGGACGCGCTCAGCATCGCGCTCGCACCTTCCAAGTAGTAAGCACGCCCGCTCAAACGCATCCGCGCACGCTTGCCACTCAAAAGCACACCTGCTTAACATGACCTGCTTAGCACTCCACCAATGCCAGCGAAAAACTAAACAGCGCACCCGCTCGCGAGCACCCGCCCAGAACTGCGCAAACTCCTGCACACACACGAACACACACACGCACATGTTTAGAGTTTAGAGCATTCTCTCAGCACCCCGCGCACGACTGCCAAATGGCCAAATGATAAGCGCACCCGCGCAAAACCATCCGAGCACACTCCTCTCACGCGTGCTACACAATAAGCAGATATGTTCAAGAGCATCCACTTGCCGTGAAATCATGGAAGCTGCAAAAAAAAACGACCAAGCCGTCCAAGCCTTGGACACCGTAAAAACCATGGAAACAGTGTAAACCGTGGAAAACTGTGCAAACCCTGGAATCTGCAAAACCCATGGAATCCCTGTGGCAACTGTGGAACTTGTGGACGAAAGGTTAGAAGCGCGTTGGAAAGCGATCGGATCCCGCGTTGCAAATCGATCGACGGGAGTCCGGCGTTGTGAATGTGAAACGACTCCTTTCATTTGTTTTTGTGGGTTCTTGCAAACAAGACATGTTCCAAAATTATCTCCATGGGCGTCTGGTAGATCCGCTGGTGACTCTAATCACCGTCATACTCAAATCCTGGCAATTACGAAAGGAGTCTTAAGGGCTTCTTGCCCCTATTTCCTGGTGACAGGTGCCCTGACCTTCACAGATCGCGCATGTGGTTCGCTCATGTGAGGTTTGTCAAACCTTCCATGGTAAATGCTCCATCAACACTTAAATGGTCAAACACCTGCTCCATGTGAGAGGTCGCCCCAAAAGCATGTAAGTGGTCAAAATATGGCGCTTGTCTCGAAGAGGAACCCCCGTATTCATTCTTCCAAGAAAGGCGCTGGAAAATCGGGCGGGCTTCACCCCTTGCTTTTGTTGGGAAGTGTGGGTGGCCCCAATTAAATGTCCTCTCCAAACTCACAGTAGACTATTAGTAATTTTGTCACTTGCTCATGAGGAGAAATGTGCGTGCGTTCTTTTGACGGGCATCCTTTCAGATCAGGAAAGCGGCTAAAGAAAATACTCCGTGCTAGTGCTCCCCCCCTCCAATTGTTAACACCTTTTCTCCAGCAATCTGAAAACACCATGTCGGGTTCTGGAAGACTACTATCTTGAAACAATCCCAACACGTCCACTTCCATGACTGGAAGAAGGGTAACATACCTCGTGAAAACGGCAAGACTACCATAGGGGGTCGCCCCGCCAATTCTAACACATATATATATAATATAACCTGTGGGGTCCGAATTTGGCCGAGTTCAGCACAAAACATAACCGCAACATACCTAACATTTGGCCGTGGGTCAAAAATAGATACCCAAAATGAAACCCTTGTAGATGGAAGCAAGGACTAAAACCTGCGGTCCATATCCTGGTGGTTTCATTTCGACCCACACCCATATGGCTGTGGCCCGTACCAAAATGGACCCCTGGCAAGTGGAAAAATGGACCAAAACCTGCATAACCCCTCTTGTTTAATTTTGAGCCACAGCCATATACCTAACATACCTCCCACCCCACCCCCGACTTCCTTCCGGTTCGCTCGGTGCTCGCCACAAGCTCCGGGTCAACGAGCTCCCGCGGCGATGGCTTCGGGCGGAAGCTGCGGCGCAGGAAGGGCGCCACCAGCGCCACGGAGGAGAAAAGGACCTCGCGGGGCGCCCGGATGCGAATAGGTTTTCCCTTTGGTGTTTTGCCAATTTGGGGGGGTTTACCAAATTCGGGGGGGGATCCAAATTGGGGGGGGAGGGGGGTTCGGGTTTTTTGTTGGAGTCTCTTCTTTGGGAAACTAATCCTTTTGGTTAGGGTTTACTCGGCAGCCATCTGTACGCAGAAAATACTGTCTGATTCTGTTTTATGTTTTGTCTACCCTGAGATAAAGCTTAGGATGAGGTTCCCTAATTAATTCAAACAGTGATTTTTGGACTGGCTTAAAAGGACATGTAGGGACCCTTGGCAAACCTCTGGATTTCTTCCCTTTCTTTTGCTTCGGCGCAAAACGCCTGAAAGCCGCAATCTGGCCACAAAAAGGCATAAAACCAACTTCGCTGCTTTTCGGGGTCAGTCATTCCTTTGGGGCGCAAGCCCCTGTTGTGCTGCTTTTGAAAGGAATCAAAATGGAAACCAACAAAAGCAAGAGTGGAGGGGGCATCATGTTGGCCCTGCTGTTCTCAAAGCTGATGCATTTTGGGAGTCTTTGCAATTAGGAACTGACCCAAACTCGTCTGCCACGATGTTTTTTGTCTGCAAACAAGACCACTTTTTTCGGCACTCTCCCCATGTGTTAGTGCTGGGGCGCAAATGAGAACCCTTCAAACGTGCAGACGACCCCAAAAGCAAGCCAACAAACTAAGCGCATGCTTCTCATGTGGTTTTCTTGGAGAGCAAGCTTACTACGAAGGACCTAGCACCTGTAAAACACTTTCGGTAGACCTTTGGCATCCACACTCACAGCATCGAACTGGGGCAGAAGCTGCTTCTGAGTTGTCCCATATGCAAAGCCCAGACCTTAGCGTACTCGCGTCAGTCGAAACGCGGCGTAGCGCAAAAACGCATTGGGATTGATTGGTTCAAGGGCTTGTTGAACATGATGTTGCCATCCATTCCGGTCAACCGCTTAAATCAGCTAGGTCCTAGAAGAACAATAGAACATGCTGTGGTCAAATTGTCAAGGAGATTAGAACATGCTGTGGTCAAATTGTCAAGGAGATATCAACAGCCTCAACCTAGCTTCCGCGGGGCCAGACCCAATTCGAACAAACATCATCCGGTTTGCTCCACATGGCCTCGTGTTTGTGTCTGTTGGTTTCGTGTGTTTGTGTGTGTGTGTGCTTTGTTGCGTGTTTGTGTGCATTTGTGTGCACGGTTTTCCGTAGATTGAAGGCACAACCCCACCGGATCTTGGTGTGTGCCGAAGGGGGAGACACTGAAAAGTGGGTGGGTGTTCTTTTGGCTTCCTGAAAAAGAACAAAAATCCCGAGCCATGACACCCACCCACCCGCCTTCCCGCCCGCCCACACAAGCACCGGGCCCCAGGCGCCGCCAGCTGGAGGCGCCCATCCTCTGCCAGCGGCCCCGGCTCCCCGGCACTTTGGCCCAAAGACTCCAGGCCCTTCAGCTCCGCCTCGCGAGTGGTGATTGAACGAGGGAGGGAGGGGGGGGTAGGGGAGGGGGAGGTAAGGGGAGGTAGGGAGGTGGGGGAGATAGGGTGAGGTAGGGAGGTAGGGGAGGTAGGGGTCAAAAAAATCGATAATCGAAGAACGAAAGTTCCCACCCAAAAAGAGAGACACCGAAGAAGCATCGCATGTTTGTGGTTTAAATGGAAACCAATGGAAACACGATGCCCGTGTATAGAGTTCCAAATCCGAGACAAACCCATCGCCATGGTCAAAGTGTGCTACCTGTAAAGGAAGTGGGAACCATGGATGACAATTACTGGATATGTTGACTGAAGCTCAGAATAAGACACATACCGAACCCTCCAAAATGTGTGATTTCCCTTGGACATTCTTGAAAAGACACACCCATTGCTTTCGCTCGCCACGACGAGAGGGGCCAGACCGAAGCGTAGTGATTCAACTCGCCTTGTGCTGGCCCAACTTTTCGCCAATCGTCTACGTTTAAATCCCAGAGCCCAGGTACGGAGCGCTGAGAGTGAACACACATGCGCCGCGCAAAGACACAGACAGGTGCAGAAACACAGGTACACATGCAAATGCAGATACGTATTCATACAACTACACGTACAAAGCAGCAGAAGTCGTGATCGCCCGCGAATCTGCATGACGTTGCAAACATTGTATACGGTACACCCAAAATTGACTGCACAAGCAGAAACACTTGCAGAAGCCCCGTCGCCAGGCTCCCGAAGGCGAGTCATAGAGACTGCCAAAGGCCTAAGGGCCTAAAAATGCATCAAGGATGCACCTGGCGGCCCTAACAGCGCGAAATTCCTCGGAGATGTTGTAGGTCTCTGGGCAGTACCCCGACATGGTTGCCTCCCCACAATTGTAGCTGACGCCCATGCGTACGGGCCGCAGCCTTGCGAGATACAACGTATCAGCAGACTCAGAGGGCTTCCTCAATATCCATAATACAGGCGCAATGACGTTGCGCATTTGCCAATGGGTGAAGTCGCAGAAGGTATTTGTGCACAGGTTGTATGATTCCCGCCGCCACCCAACAGCGACAGTCACCTGAGGAGAGAACTGCCCAACGGCAAGGCGACGGCCCCCCGCAAAAGGGTCTTAAAAACAAACACATAGGCGCATGGGTCTGCCCTTGATTCTTGACCCCTTGAGCGGCCTTCCAACTGGCGATGTGTTCATCTCTTCAGTATTCACCAGAACCGCCAACCGACAAAGGGTCTTTGTTCAAAAATAGACCTAAGTTTATTTTTAGTGAACATCCAGGGCACAGGCAGGTGTCGAAAGTCGTTCTGTGTTGCCAAGCCCGAGCCCCTGTCACCCTTGCAATAGCAGCGGCCAACACCGTCGACAAACAGAAGCTTCAGATGGATTCTTTGAGCCGATGACATACCCCGTAAAGCCATGATGGATCAACACAAATTGGGATGCGTTAGACACATGGCGTTGTCTCCTTTGAGGGAAACCCAAAACTGGTGGTGTTCCCTTGGGTTTCCATCTCCAAAACAAAACAAAAAACGCATCCAACGCGGAGATCGGTTTGTTCGGCTCAATTCTCGCCTCAGGCCCTGCTGCCACCAGCATCACCTGACACCACCTGCCAGGCAATGGAAACCAGCGGCTGAAACCAAATGAAGCCAACCACAGGGAAACCAACAACCAGTCAAACTGACCCAACCAAACTCCTAAACATCCATGAGTTCAAACTTAAAGGGTCTGATTCGGTGGACCCTGCACTTTGTTCTCTCATTTGTTCAATGGGGACACCAAAGGGTCCACAACCCTGATGTGCCCCGTTGTGGTTGGAGTTCCCGCTTTGGGATGGCGAAACCAATCACTAGGGCTTCCTGAACACTCACGGCACGTGATCGACTGGTCCTTGAAGTGGCAAAAAACATGAAAAATGTTCAAGTTTCCAACCAACCAATAGCAACCAACCAATAGCAACCAACCAACCAACCAACCAACCAACCAACCAACCAACCAACCAACCAACTAACCAAGCAACCAAGCAACCAAGCAACCGAGCAACCAAGCAACCGAGCAACCATCCAGCCAACCAACCCGGCTTAAGCCCCAACCGGCGCTAGTAAAGTTTTGTTTTGCGCGAGGGGCGCCGACAAAATAGAATGCGACGCATGAACAACCAGGGAATTGGCAAAGGCTTTGACCATGCCACTAGTGGGTGCTTGGCTTGTCCGAATGTCGACCTCTGAGCTATAAATCTCCCCAAAAGCTTAGGGGATCCATTTCAGCGGGGATTTCTTTGTTCATAGGGCCCGCTACATTTTTCTTTGAAACATCTCCCCACCAAAAAGAAACTCACCTGGACATGGCACACAAGGCAATGTTTAATTAGCACCACCAACACCACAAAACATGTTAAAGTTGGCCCTTCCCTGCCCAAAGATAATATCATCCCATTGCAGTCTCTGGTCCATCAACAAGAATCCCGAGGATCAAATGGTTCCAAATGGCAAAAGCAGGACCATTCTCTTCAGCATGAAGCAAGACTCGTTTCAGCCTGAGCTTATGTTCCATGGCAGAGGCCCCTTTAGAAGCGTTGTCCGCGAAAAGTCGGCGGACGTTGTATGTGGTGGATGTTCGTATGTGTACCAGTGGTGGTAGTTGCTACATTGTGTGTGTGTGTGGGTGGGTGGGTGAGTGGGTGGGTGAGTGGGTGGGTGAGTGGGTGGGTGAGTGGGCTGGCGGTTGCTGGGTGCTGGTATGTGATAGTCTATGTTGGGTTGTGCTGGAATGCGAGGCAAGAGTTGGCAGTTGTTCGTATGTGCTGGTGAATGTTTCCTAGTTGTCCGATGTTGGGCTGGAGGACGGCATATGGAGCATAGTGGGTGGCGGGTGTCAGCATGGTGGGTGTCTCATGGCCCGCTCGACGGTAAAACCTCGCCTGGCACCTGAGCCATACGAACTGCAGGCACGTTCGCTGGGCTGCAAGGAACAGTCTATCCATATCATTTTAGATCACTCTCTTTGTCCCACTCGATGCGTGTGTTGTATATGCGTGTTTCCTAATACTGGGGACCCCTTCTTTGTTCGAGTGCTCAAACGACTGCAACTCTCTGAACTGGGAAAGAGCTCTCGCGGTCGAACCCAGCCGCGACCGCTTTTTTTGGTTCCAAGCAAAGGCGTCCCTTCGGAGCCCAGAGCCACCCCCGCGATCCGCGACGCGGATGTCGTGCCTCAAACTGGCGGCCCCCTAAAACGGACTTTGGGGCTGGAAGTTCGTTGCCCAAATGTGGGCGAGTTGCCTTCCCCGAGAAAAAAATGGACGACAAGCTGCTGGGCCCAGGTGTAGGAAAGCTCAAGATCACGTCCGCCTCAGGAAGTGCGCAGTGCATTTACATCGGCGTCCCAAAAGTGCCAGCAACTCAGCTGGACAAAGACTGGTCGAACTGCGCCGGATCATTCGGCTATGTGAAAGGGCGGCACAAGATTCGGTTGGTGTCGTTGTTGCTGGAACAAGGGGGTGATTTGGGAAGCCCTCGGCGAACCCTCGCAACGTTTGTTGTCGAGGATCGCATGTCCAAGCGCCATCCTGTGCATGGATGCACGCTGTCGGGGAGCTGATTCCGACGCTAGGCTGGCCAAGCGATAGAGCCTGGCGTGGCCCGAATCAGACAACAGGTTGGCCTGCCCCTCTCTTTTCGATCGGCAAGAAACCGCATCAGGCTGCCGGCTCCGGATCGTCAAGAATGTGGCCTCGGATGCAAGCCATCGAATCGGGATTTGCTTGATTCTATCGAGTGGGCATCCGTTATGTACAGCGGCAGCAAAAGCAGGTGAACATGATTCCCAACATGCATCCCAAGGCACCTGATTGAACAAAAAGCTTCACCACCAATCCAAGACTATTCAGCACACGATGCAAACATAAGCTGGTTTCGAGTGTGCATACTATCCGGAGCAATATAAACAAAATTGTCCGGGGGGTCTGCGAAAACCGAGATTTCTCTCCAGAAATATGGTTGCTCAGAACCATACTGTTTATAGATGCTTGGAGCGGCAGGTTGGGCCTCACCAAAAAAAATCCGTTGGCTTCCTGTATGACGGTATGTGCCTGTGTGTGTGTAGCTGTGTTTACAAGTGTGTGTGTGTAACAGTGTCTGTGTAACTATGTGTACCTATGTGTAACTATGAGAAACTATTTGTAACTATGTGTAGTTCTGTGTGTAGCTGTGTGAGTGTGTATGTGATATGTGTCATTTGTGTGTAATTATGATGCTTGTGTGTGTGTGTGCGCGTCATTGTGTCTGTGTACGTGGTTGTGAAGGCATGTGCAGGCGTGTACAGGTATGCACCGTGTGAGCAAACATTTTCCCAAATGCCCAACACACTCATAGCAAACGAGAAGGCCAATAACCACCCTGCCAACGCTAAACCAACAGGTTCCCGTCGATTACCTAGAAAACACCTGCGAACCCTACCGCCCAGTCCCCTGATTAGACCCTGGCCTGCACTTTTGCAGAAACCACATTGATCATTCCGGGCCCGGGGCCATATTCATTCAGGGCAAGTTGTTTTCAATATCGTCTAAATATGTGTATGGTGTGCATATGTGTTTATGAATGTATCCGTACATGTGCATGTGTCTGTGTATGCATATGTGTGGCACGTGTCCAAATGTATACGTTAAACTTGGGACAGCAACGCTCCCCCTCTCCTAACACCAGCGAATTTGGAACACTTCCCACTCAAGGCAGCGCGGCCGCCGGATTTGGCCATCCGCTCAATAAGTAGTAGTATATATTCAAAACCGGATGGAGTAGCAAACTTCAATGGGGGCAGCCGTCAAATTTGCGTGTTTTTGCACGCTGCCTACTCTGCCAGGGTTTCAAAATTTCGCCATAGCGCGAGCTTATAAATTGTCCCCGGAGTAGCGGAGCAGTGGAGTAGGTGTTCTCTAGAGAGGGGTTTGTCAGTGAATTCCGATAGAAAACAGCGTGTTTGGAATACTAAACCATGCAGATGTATATATACATAGATATGCATGGGCGTGTGTGTGTGTGTGTGCATGTATGTATGTATGTATGTATGTATGTATGTATGTATGTATGTATGTATGTATGTATGTATGTATGTATGTATGTATGTATGTATGTATGTATGTATGTATGTATGTATGTATGCATGTATGTATGTATGTACAAATGAATGTATGTATGCATGCATGGCATGGCATGGCATGGCATGGCATGGCATGCATGTATGTCTGTATGCATGTATTTATGTATGTATGTATGTATGTATGTATGTATCTATGTATGTATGTATGTATGTATGTATGTATGTATGTATGTGTGTGTGTCTGTATGTCTGTCTGTCTGTTTGTCTGTCTGTCTGTCTGTCTATGTATGTATGTATGCATGCATGTATGTATGTCTGTAGGTAGGTAGGTAGGTAGGTATGTATATGTATGCATGGATGTATGTAATGCGACGCGATGCAATGCGATGTAATGTAATGCATAGTGCAATGCAATGCAATGCAATGTAATACAATGTACTGTAATGCATAGCGTACTAATGGAACGTACTGTGAGGCAATGTAATGCACACGGAATGTAAGGTAATGTGAGGTGTTGTAATGTAAATGCGCACTGTAATGTACATGTAATGTAACGTAAGGCAATGTAATGTAATGTATGTACGTACCTACGTACGCACGAACGTACGAATTTGTGTGTATGTATATGCACACGCACATGTATATGTATATACAAGTATGCGTAAACATGATAACGATTAAATTGACATCAATATGTGTGAATGTGCACGTACAGGTGTGTACGTGTGTGTGTGTGTGTCCGTGTGCATGTGTGTCTGTATATATGTACATATATGCGTCAAAGCGAAATTGATCTACACCGGGACTCCAGTCGTGTCCATCTTGGGGCCGGACCCTCCCACTCCCCAGGCGCTAAGTTTGAGAGCTCCTGCGAATGCGGCCGTATGAGTGGTGAATGGGGGAAGGGGCTTTGACCTATGCAACTTTCACATGAACAAATGCGGCTGGGCCCTTGATTTTAGTGGTCAGCACCCTCTGAAGGACCGCACTGGCTGATCATGGCATCCAAAAGCCATCAACATATGGAGTCAATAGTTCCTCTCCCCAAATTGTCTGGAGCCGTAAACTTGTGCACAAACAGGCCAACCCTCCATGTCCCTGGCCATCCCTCCCGCATCAAAATTCCATAGGCTATCAGAACGGTTCTGTTTGGATTCCTTCCACACCACGTGCCCCTCAAACGATATTTCACAAGTTTGGTCCCGCATCACCTGGCTGTCGGGTGTGATCCCGGATTTCAAACACATCACCTAATTGTTTACCAAGAAACAAAAGCCAGCAAAGGAACATTGAAAAACAACAACACTCGAAAGACAAAAACATGAGTGGACACCTGTCATGTTCATGCAGTAGGTTCAAGACAGTTCATGTTCAGGCTGTCTATCACGGCTTGATTATATCTGCGTCCTGCTTTTATATGGATATTTCACATATATATATATATATATAATACTAGCCCACTGCCCGAGCCGCCAGTCACAGTTTGCATCCACCTTAGTCAGGCAAACCTTAGTCCATTTCTCTCGCCGGGCGCCACCTTTCTCAAGCAACATGATAGGTCCTCAGAGACCATCTGCAAGTTTTGCCACAATTCCAGAAGCTGAATTGAGGGATCTCCAGGTACAGGACCTTTATCATGGTGAGCTCGCTATATTTCCTTGAGCTCGCCATAAATTAGGCAGACATATGCAACTTCCGGGTTCGCGTTTGATCACGTGGCTGCGCGGCCTTTCAAAAGCGTAACATGGCCCAAACTTTGGGTGCACCTGTAACTTTTTACTCCAAGCAGCAGCCACTCGTTTCAGCCTACCAAATATGTGCGGCTAAATGGTAAGTCGTTGTAGGTAGCCGCTTGGGTGCATGAGGCTATTTAGGGATGGTTAAGGGCTGCATGATCAAGGATATCAGGACTCCCCAGTGATGAAAAGGTGTTCTCCATCGCGAGGACGGATGCTTAAAGCTGCACAACCAGTTTCTCCAAAAGCGTTTGTTTGGAAAGGGGGTCGCTTCTGCAGTCCCTCTCACAGACGAAGCTGCGGTGAACGCCGCTTGTTGGGATACAGCTCTTCAGCTTGCCTTGAGCACAACACGGTTCTGTCGAGGAGCTTCGAGCCTATCGTGCAATCGGACTGAAGCATTCGGGCGGGCTGATGCTCAAACCTTCTTGGGATTTACTCTCCTGCAGAAGTATTGAACCCCCGCAAGCAAATTGCGCTGGCAGTTCCCAAAACATTGCCAGTAAAGCCGGCAAACCACAAGAACTGGATGTGCCTACACGTTGCCCAGCATTGTCTTCCAACTCTAAAAACCAGCAGGTTTGCGCTTCTTTGTTGATAGTCTTTTTAGGCGGTGTTACATTGGAATGAAACAACACAATTTTGGTAGGAGTAGTCCTCCTATTTTGACACGTGCCCAAACCGCCCAACATTTGTGTTATTTCTCAAACCAGAGGCAGACTTCTTCCGGATCTTCCGCATACGTTGGACCTTTGGCCAAGCGGGCCGAGAAGCTC